CATGAAACGCTATGTATCATAACAACAATGTGACCCAAATTATCTTGGAGATTAAACCAACGCATTGTCAAACACAATCTTACGAAATCAATAACTAGACTCATAGGTCCGAGCACGGTGATTAAAATTAAACCTGCGCCCCAGCAATTTACGTGGAGACAAATTTATGTTCGCCAATTTCACACATTAAAAAATAAATTTATATCTTCGAAAGTGAACATAGTGTCCAAATCTTGAATTACTTTTCACCTTAATCATGAAGTCGTCTTAACAATATTCACTGGCATTCCTAACTCTAAGTGTTTAGAATATGCAGCAAACTTTGCTGGTCAATCTTTTCTCCCGTCGATTATATTCGGTGGAACATGGGTTATCAAGCCTCTCTTCACGAAGGGTTGGAGCATGCCTCTTCACAGGCTCATGTACCAATTCAGGAGGGATTTACCAACGAGCATCGAAACCTGTTTGACGAGTGGCTTATGAGCAATACTTTCAAGAGCGTTGTTATTCGCGAACAATACTTGATGAGACTTCATGTACTGCATGCACTTGCCAATGGCCACAACTCGCGACAGCTTTTGAAAGACGGCGTATGTTCGCTGTCATTTATCCAGAAGACGCGTCAGAACTACTCTCTGAATGAGCGTGGTGAGCTCTACTACCATGCAAGAAAAGGAAAAGCGACACTTCTTGTAATTCCTGATGACGAAGTTTTTGATGTCATTGTTCGTGAACACAATGCCATTCACCATCAAGGGACAAGTAAGACATGGTATGAAATCTCCCGGAGATATCATGGGATCCCAAAGCGGGCAGTCGATTGGGTGCTTCGTCATTGTTTGCTATGCCATGATCATCGCCCGGGGCCTCGACCCGCACCAACGCAAAAAATTTCATCGCATGAGGTAATGGAACGTGTTCAGATGGACCTTATTGACATGCGTAGAGAACCAGATCGCAAGTATCGCTGGATTCTTCACATAAAAGACCATTACTCTCGTTTTTGCATGCTGTACCCTTTGCGTCGTCGACGCGGAAAACATGTGGTGCGCTGCTTTTTGCAGTGGATTGCTACTATGGGCCCACCCATGATATTGCAAACTGACAATGGCGTAGAATTTGTAAATGCCCTCATCACTCAAGTGGCTGTGCAACATCAAATTCTTATCAGACGTGGCCAGTCGGGTAGACCGCGCAGTCAAGGCCTCATCGAGCGTGCCAATGGTCACGTTCGGAATCTAATCGCCAAATGGTGTAATCGATTTGGTGAAAATCGGTGGTCTCGTTCATTGCCATCGATTGCTCTGGCGTGTAATACTTCAGTGCACTCCAGCACCCGAAGAACACCGTTCGAGATGGTATTTGGTCGTGCCCCAAGTTGGCAGCGACTTGCTCGATTAGACCCACTCGATCCAACTCTTACGAATATGGAGCTCGGATTGGAATATGAACAACAACAATCCCAAAGTTCGGTTGATACCAACGGGCCACCAACTCCGAGTCCAGTCCGCTCAGTTGTGCCACCGATGGCATTATCTCCTCCTAGTGAAACTCTCCCTTCTCCATCTCCTCCTCCATCTCCATCGCCATCACCGTCTTCATCATCATCTCAAAGGATATCGTCCGATGATCCTTCCGCACTGGTGTCGCAATCGCGGAAAACAACTTCTGTACCGATTGTAAACCAAGAACCTATTCCACGTGAGGTCTACTTCCGACGAGGTACACGAGTCAGTGTAAGTCTCACTGGCGTTGATCGGAAGCCTTTAGATGTTTATCGACTTCCCGCTCTAATCTTGAGCCATCGAAAAAATAAAGGCTACCGGGTGTGCACTGCATGGGGAATTTTGTCGAACCGTGTACCTGCGCGTCATGTATTGCCACTACCAGAAGGACATCCTTTTCCTGCTCGTGCATTTAGGTATTTACAGCCAGGCAGGCGAACACCGCGTGTTGATGTGTCTTTTTGCATGCAACAACTTCGTCTGGAAGAAGACACGGTCTCCGCCACTACTGCTGCTGATAACGATGCAACAACAGACACTGACATCGCTAATGTAACCAACATTTGATATTTCCTCTAATGATATTTGTGACTAATCATTCTACCTCGTCTACAATTAGGCAGCAGCCGCCAGGGGCAAATGGACTGTTGTAGCTCCGGTTCCTGAGCGCACAGGTCGGCCAACAACAATGTTACTTGATGGTGAAGTAAGGTCGTCCATCTCTTGGAATAAAGACGCACCGCTAAGGAATGCCATTGTCATCTCGAAGCTAGCTTTAAGCAACGGAGAAGGTGCGTCGGCAAGGCCACCTCGGCTAAATGGTCTGAAGTCACCAAATGCCGTTTGGTAGTCAGCAATGAGGAACATGTGGCGCATTGAAACGCCAATACCGTAGGTGTCGAAGATGCCTTTCAGCTCACTGACAATAGCAGCACGAGCGGCCTCAACACCGTAGCAATATAGCAGTGCACCAATATCATTTGAGTAGATGCGATCAAGATCGACAACTCCGAAACCAAAGTCCCACATGCCGGGGAGATTGATTCCTTCAGCAGTCAAAGCCACAGATGGATCGCCAGGAACAGGTGGAGGAATCATGATTCGGCTGATACGGGGGATTTCATGCACAACGCTTGCTCGGCAGACCCGCTCAATGACATTGATCAGAAGCATCTTTTCCGTGCTGTTAAGCATTTGAAGATCAAATTCTGCCCATGCACCAGCCACACTGTCGAAACGGAATGAAACGACAAACTTGCTCTCATTCTGAAGTCGTTCATCGAGTTCGGTTACACGAGCATCAATGGCTTCGTCGCCAACGTCTTTCTGTGCGGACAACGCTTGTTCATCACCGTCTTCGATGTCGTCAGCATCGTTAAAAGCGCGCGTAATGTCATCAGTCGTATCCTTGGCACGATCATCCTCAGCATCAGCAGCGTCATCATAGGATACCTTTGAACCAGCATTGGCACGTCTCTTGGCTGCGGTAGCGTCGTCATCATCATCACCAGCTTCTGACAGCCGCTCGTCCTCGTCATCACTGTCATTCGCAGCTGCGTTTCGATATATAGGTACATCAGCATCACGTTCTGCCATGCTTTCATTGAAGGTTTCTCCACGGCCGATTGATTGTGACTGGCGTACTTGATCACGACGCAGGCGCTTTAGTTCACGAACGATCTCGCGCTCGACCAATGGTACGAAAGTAGCTTCAAGACCACTCAATATGTGCTCAGTTGATGCGTTGTACTCTTGTTTCACTTCATCCGCCGGGTAGAATTGCAATCGAACTGTATACAGTTTTTGCCGCTGGTAACCATTGGCAGGAGTCTTGGGCATCATACGCTCAGTCACAGTGGCTTCTTCAATAATTTGACTCAACACCAAACGACTTCCATCTTTACAGAATATGCGCATTTGCTCATTCGTCACGCCATCCAATATAGGTAGCCTCATGACTGGCGTTTTGATATCTTTGGACGCTGTCATGACAATTTCGCGTAGACGAGGAATGCCTAGCGTCACGTTTGCTGCGCCATGACCAGCAAAGTGGAACGTGTTAAGAGTCATCTGTGTTGATGGTTCACCGATGCCCTGAGCAGCCAGCAACCCTACATTTTCTCCTGGCTCAACCAATCCCCGATGATACAGCACCTTTGTCATCGCTCGGAAAGCCTCGGTGCTCAATTTCGGATGCGCGAGCTGCATAGGTACTCCTTCAGAGGCCGAGTCTTTCTTTTTGCGAGCAAGTAACGCGCGAGGATTTTTCGAGACATAATCCTCAACCTTCTGCGCGAACGTTTCTGACATGGAGCCAAAGTGGCGTGCAGGTGAATATACGGACATGACAGGAGCATACTTGTAAGGTTTCTTGAGTGCACGCTTCATGTAGTCAGGAGCCTTCTCAACTTCCATCGTCGATTCCAGCTGTACAGGATTGTAGCGCCGGCGATAGCTTTCAAAGTTTTGGATCGTGAAATCAAAGCGATCGAGATACTTGCTCTTAGACACGTCCAAAGAATCTTCACCATAGTGGAATTGGAGTACAAAACCATCGCTGTTTCGAACAGTCTGGTCGTACTGTACCGAGATGCCTTCAAGATGTTTGATAAGACAGCGTTGCAAGTAGCCAGATCGGGACGTTTTCACGGCCGTGTCAATGAGACCTTCACGACCAGCCATACAATGGAAGTAGTACTCCTGCGGCGCAATGCCCGTCAAAAAGCGACCTGCGACAAATCCGCCCGCCCGTGCTGCAGTTTCAAAGGCTTTAAACGATGGAAGCGTCTTACCACTAACCATGACCGGCACACGCCGGCCTTCAAGCGCTTGCGGTCCTAACAAGCACGAAATCGAGGACACGTTCACAGCGCTTCCCTTGGCTCCAGAAACAGCCATCATCTGCATGTTGTTCTCAGGGAATACGCGCCAGAGGCCTGAAGGGATGCACGAAGAAATGACGGAAGAAGTTAGTTTGTTTGAGGCAGACATCATCGCTGCATCAAGAGCTGCAAGTTTGTTGTCATCACGCAATACCTCTTCTAAACGGACGCGGAGATTACGATGTGTTTCAGGAGCTTTTGAATCTCCATCACCAAGACCAACATTATTGAGTGCAGCCTCAAGGCCATGTGTGGCTCCGTCTTTGAGAATTTTTTGTCGCGTTGCGTCGCCCTCAGAACTGAGCACCAAATCGTCCATACGACACGAAAAAGCATTGTGCTGAAGCCACATTGTGAACAAGCGCGAAAAGATTGACAGAAGACGACCCGCACTTTCAGCTCCGTAAATTTCATAAACGGCATGAACCAGACCATAGGCTGATGCACCGATCTGAGACTTGTCCAGCACACCAGTGAGAAGCTCACCATCACGCACAACGACCATCTCTTCTTCCTTGTGCTGTTCACCCCAGTACTTGGCGCCGACACGAGCCTTAGCGTCCATGTTCAGTCCTTGAGCATGAGGAGGCGTCACGTTGCATAAAATTGTTGAGATTACTTGCTTACCCGTCCAGCGAGGCTTAGGCTTTAAGATCGCCGGAGGGAGCGTTCGAATGCGTCCGCCTTGGCCGTACGTTTCTGGACGAATAGCTCCGAAGATGAATTGCTGGTACTCATCCCGAGTATACAAAGTGTTTTTGCACGTCATCCACACACCACCAACGACATGGTCCTGGATTAAACCACGAAGAGGATTGCCGCTTGTGGGCACGAGATATTGGTTGTCCGTATTTGCAATATTATAGCATTCAGCACGTGCCATTTGACTTTGGGGGAAATGCATGTTCATTTCATCACCGTCAAAGTCAGCATTGTACGAATTACAGTTCGCGTAATGCATACGGATTGTTCGTTCGCCTTGCAGAACCCGTGCGCGGTGTGCCATCATGGATGGTTTGTGTAGCGTTGGTTGTCTATTCATGACAAGAATATCGCCGGTACGTAGATGCCGCAAGACTTGCTTGTTGATGACAGGCGTGCGAAGTGTGCCACCAATGCCTCCAAACGTGCCACGCGCCTGTCTCGACGTTTGCCCTTGCGGCGTCAACAGTTGATTTGCAAGCGCAGTCCGCTCTTCGACGCTCAGGTTTTTAAGAAGTGTGTCTGTACCGTCTTCTCCACGAACAGCATGCGCACCTGGATAAACATCGGGGCCGTTGATCACCAGCTGGCGCATAAGTTCGTAGTTGTGTACTGTAACCGGCTCAGGATATGTCAGGCGTTTGGCAAAGACAGGTGGCACACCGATTTCATTAGTTTCAATGTTTACATCGGGCGAAATGACAGAACGTGCAGCAAAGTTGACTCGCTTGCCCATCATGTGCTTACGGAAGAGACCCTCCTTTTTCTCCAAGCCTTGCTTTACACCCGGCGTGGCGGCTTGGCCTTGCCGTTGTGGTGCGGGATTCTTGCTCGAGTCCATATAGCAATTCACACTCACTTGGAGCTGCATGATGGCAGAAAGAAGTTGGTCCATAGCAGCACGACGATCCATCTCCCATTGTTTTTGCGCAGTTATCGCTTGCTGCTCGTTCATTTCATCAAGAACAGGGTAATTCGCCTTTGTTTGATACACTTGAGCACGCTCATTACAATCACGAACGAAAAATGCAGTATTCAAGATTTTGGTCAAGAGCTCATTTTGGGGGTTTTCAAACGTCTGATCACCCATAACACTAGCGGGACGGAATCGGGTGGGTGTAACACAAATGACCTCTAGAAAGAACACATCAGCACTGGGTGCCGGCGTGCTGCCAAACATAGGATGTCGTCCAAAAATGAGCGAACAGATTTCGCTTTCATTTGCAAACAAACGGCGCAAGTTGGCCCGGCACTCGCTTGCTGGAACAACGCGGGTGTGATCGCCAGCCTCTTTGCTCAGTTTACGAGCCTCTTTCAGAGTTATAGCGGTTTCAATCGTGCTCTCTGAATCAGGCTCATTTCCAGCTGCTCTTATAGTTTGGCCATTTGTATCTCGCACAGTCATGGTCGACGCTCGATCCATCAACACATTTTGCCGCTTGATGCCGCGAGCTTCATGGATAGCATGGTCTCGAGCTGACAAGTCACGCTCGGTTATTTTGACAAAACCATCTTTCCGCAAAGTCGGGTTGATCGCCTGACATCGCTCGCAGCGACGGCGCATGATATCTTTTAGAAAAAGATTACGCAAATCTCGACGCGCCGAGTATGTAGCCATACCCTTGTCAGCATTCCGGCGGATACCGCATTTCCGGGCCTGGGCTGTTAATCTATGCACAGCCTGACGAATTCGCCTGATAAAATCATCGACAGTCTCAGCTGGCTGGTTGTCGTTCTGAAGTTGAGCTAATGGCTCGTCGTCGTCATCGTCGCCGTCTTCGTTTGCACCTTCTTCAACAACATCGACACCTGCACTGTGGGGACCACGGAACTGTTCATTTGCGATTCTTTCTGCCTCATCCACAAGTCCATACTCGAGCAAATGGAATTGCGCAGTATATTTAGCGAGTGCCATCTTCGAAATTTTAAAATGATGACAGTACAAACAAGTACCGCGCAAGAGCGAGTATGCATGGTTCATGAACAAAGGATGAAAGACTGGGGCAGGCAGCTCAATATGGCCAAAGTGTCCAGGGCATTCAAAATGATTCATATGACACGTTTGGCAAATGTCGTCTAAACGCATCGGTCCAAAGGCTGGGTCGTACAGACCACCGATCGTCGGAGCATTTGCATTGTCGAGCAGAATTGGATTCACTACCTGACGCACGGAGATGCTTCTCACCTCATCTGCGGTCAGGAATGAAAACGATGCGGACTTTACGTGCGACGTTATCGCGCGCGTAATGTCCATCGTCCCTTCTGCTCACACGTATCAAGTCAAGGCGTACGTGCTACTCGTCCGCCACTGAAAATTTTTAGGTGAGGTCACGTGAATACGAGAAATCTCGCCACACTATGAGACTCGATTCGCACACGCTGCTTGACACGCACGCATACTCTCCACGCGAGCACCAACAGTCATGACCGGTGCATCGGCGGTTCTGCCTGCGCACGGGCTTTCTGCACGTTTGGCTGTGATGCTCGGGGCTGTGGCTCTCGGTTCTTCGCTGTTATCGATAGCCACAATATTGGGCTTTCAGAGGCAAGTTCGACGCCGGCGCAAACGAGCGTTGAAAAAAGAGGCAGCTCAACATCCGCCTTCCTCTGATGCGCACATCCCAGAAAACCGTGTTAATGCTGCATCCCACAGTAAATTGGAGGCAAGTAGGGGCTCGTATGATGAGTCTTTGATTCGAGAGCAGCTCAGTCGCAATTACAGCTTTTTGGGTGAAGAGGGCATGAAGACGATTCGTGACAGTTTTGTCATTGTTGTTGGTGCTGGTGGCGTTGGTAGTTGGACAGCGCTTATGCTTCTTCGCTCAGGAGTAGGTCACATCCGCATAATTGACTTTGACCAAGTGTCTCTTTCATCGTTGAATCGACACGCGTGTGCCACTCTGGCGGATGTTGGTCGCCCCAAGGTTGTGTGCTGCCAGCAGTATTTCCATCGGGTAGCGCCGTGGGCTGACATTGAGGCCTATGTTGACTTATTCCGCGAAAGTGATGCTGATCGTCTTCTTGCCGGATCACCGACCTATGTTGTGGATGCTATCGATAACCTCGACACCAAAGTTGAGCTAATCAAGTACTGCGCTTTGCGTAGAATCAAAGTGTTTTCGTCGATGGGTGCGGGCGCTAAGGCAGATCCAAGTCGCGTGCAGATTAGCGATATATCTACCACGGCCGAAGATCCACTTGCCCGTGTAGTGCGACGCGAACTCCGAGTAGCTGGCATTCCTCTTATTCCACCTTCCGGCAGTGACGAGTCTAAGATGTCCGCCAAAACGTCGATTGATTCCAATAATGAGACCTCATGGACGATCCCCTGTGTATATTCGACTGAGAAATCTAGCACTCATCTTTTGCCGCTACCAGACGAAGAGTTTGAAAAAGGCGCTGTGAACGAACTTGCCGCTTTCGAAGACTTCCGAGTTCGCATACTTCCTGTTCTTGGGCCTATACCCGCTATGTTTGGACTTGCCGCAGCAACTTATATTCTATGTGATCTAGCCAAGTACAAACTCGAGCCTTTACCCATCAAGGGCCGGCGAAAATTGTATGAGAAACTTTTTGCCGATTTGAACGTGACGGAATCGCGGTATCCATCGCCGCCTGTTGACGAGAGAACGCATACATTACCATCAAATCGACGACCTCTGACTGACGATGATGTGCCTCCCAATTATCATATGGTCAACGAGAAGGGTCCGCCACCCAGGGTGCGAATTCCATTTAGTGTAAATGACATTGCATATCTCTTTGAAGAAGTTTTCCGTGGCCGAACTGTGGTTCCTCCATTTGAAACGTTGTCGACCGGTCAATTTCAACGCTGGGACCCCAGATTGCCGCTAGATTACAACAATGTGGTCCTATTCACTCGCCCACAGGCCCGTCGCCATGAACAGCATGTTTTATCTTGCAATGCAGATCCGACTACCTACTGGGGGCCAGTTGTCAGTACAAAAGTTCAGCAGCGAATCAAAGAAGAATTGCGCATGTCGCATTGGCGCTAACATTGTCGACTGGATTATTTTACATACAGTGTTACGAGGAAGATTTACCTGTGGCTGCGTTTGTCTCTAGGGCCTCGTCACCTTCCAAGCGCAGATCACTGATAGAGTTCGATAAAGACCTGCTCGGTCGTTCGCGATGGGTATCCACGGCCTCGATCGGGAGCTCGTATCTTTTCTCGTCACAACCATATGCCTTGGGTGTCAGCTGGATGACTGTGTGAAGTGGTACTTTGATATAAGGCAATTCGTTTTGGTCGTAGCCCATAAAATATGCGTACAATGCCCGGATAATGGCTTGATGTCCAATAATTAGGATATTGTTCTGCCGTTCCAGCTCCATAATGACAGGTTCAAGTCTCACGACTAGGTCCCGGTAGCTCTCGCCACCACGGTAACGATAGTTAAATTTGTCGTCGTCTCGGCTAGCATAATCTTCAGGATAGAATTCTGCAATTTCTGTGTATGTCATGCTGTCACATACGCCTGCATCGAGTTCATCAAGTGATTTCCACATAAGCTTTGGATATTTGAGAAAGCCGGCTGTCTGCGCAGTGCGACGTAGTGAACTGTGCCAGACGGTCAATGGCTCGTCACCAATATGATCTTGGATAAGTTGTGGAAGAGCTCGTGCATACGCCCAGCCACGTTCGGATAAATCTGAATCTCCGCCGATCTTGCCCTCAACGTTATATTGTGATTCACCATGGCGCGAGATGAAGATGTTGCGTGGTGCAATGTGCAGGTTGAGTAGATAAAAAGCAATTTGGGACTCAAGGTAGCTTGAAATTAAATTCATGGTAGCAGAGCGGCCAACATCAATGATCTTGCAGTACGTGTAATGACTTTCGGTGCCATCTGCATCGAGCGGTTCATACACAGCCTCGTAGTGCTTGATTCGACGCAAGAAGTCTTCTTTCGCTTGTTCCCTGGTCAAATGAGCATAGTCCGGATCCGTGCCACGGACCTTGACTTCTACATTTTCTTCGATCAGCTTCGGGTCTGTGCACGTCGATTCTAAGAAAAACAACCTCATGCCAGGTTCTTGTGCGACACGATCCGCAATTTGCTTTCGACGTGCCTTGGTCGTGTTCGTAGCGTCATGAATCCCCACATTACCGCCTGTTTTGAGCCAAGCGATGAGCTGTTCAAGACACTCATGTGCAAGCACATCCCGTTTCTTTTTTGCTTCAACGTTCAAAGAGTCAAAGAAACTTGCCGTGTGTGTTGAAGAATTCGTCTGTCCAAAAACCTCACGTGCACGCGCACGACGAAGCTGACCAACATTGAAAACACGCACTTCGTACTCACGCCAGTGAAGATAACGCATAAGTTTGTTGCTCAGATAACTTTTGCCTCGCGCGGGCAAGCCTACCATCGCGACGACGATTTTTTCGCCACTAAAATCTGGCTTATTGCTTTGTTCACCAAGATTGCGTGAAATAGACATTGAACGAGAAACTCTTTTTTTTGTAGATGATTGGCGCAGCACAGATGTGTGAATAGTAGGATCGCCCATTGAATTCAACGTATTCCTCGCCGTGTCAGGCAAGGAGTACTGAGAATCAGCACGAGTCATTGGAATCGTGGGAGCCACATTCGGTGACGAATGTGCTGTTTTGTTCGGAAATAACGTGCTTGTCACGTTGCCTCCCTCGTACACAGATTGTGCATAATTGGATACGGATGATGCATTTAAGCGAGGTGCCGTCACAGACTCATCCGGTAAAATGCGTTCAGCTTCCTGTGCCAGTCGATTTGAAACCAACTCTGGGTGATCTCGGAGAAGAGTCAGCAGTCCATCCGATGTAGACCCCAGTGGGGTAGATGCTAATTTTTCTTCAAATTGTTGTCGTTTGACAGGGTCTGGTGCGGGCATGGGTCTCGACAGCTCAATTGTAGTATCTTCGTCCCTATCGGAAACAGCAAATTCACCCGTAGACGCTTGCGTACATACTTGTCGAGGGACGTCGCAGCTTAAAGAATTCGTATCACGTTCTTTCTCCATGGATTTCATGGTTTGTAAGTGGGTGTGATGCTGAAATTTTGACGCAGAAGTGACTGCAATATGATTGAACTATCGTCAACCACGCACGAGGGTTGTCCTTTTGAGAGTGCGGATGGACCAATCGAGATTGTTGTATGTGTAGTTCACGTGATGAGTTGGTCCCTTCGCTAGCCCATCCCCATTGATCCCCACACATCATGAATAGCGGCAGTTATGCTTGGTCAAATGTGGCGTCGTTCGCGCCACAGCTTACGCTGAAGGTTCCCGCGTCCCCTCCAACATGTCATACAATCGCCCTTGTATCATTACCTCCAGCACTATACTTTGATCCATTCACTGCACGCTTGTCTGAAGCGCAGCTCGTGCGGAGCGCCAAGTTGTTCGGTACGCTGGAACTCGAGAAGCCTGTAGGCTGGTCCAAGCGGAACACTACAGCGCGTTCGATTGAAGCGATACCACGGATGTGGTGGGAAGGCGACCGAGGAGAAGCATCAGAGGCAGTTTGTGTTGACGAAGCTTGTGAATACTCGACGCTCCTGCTTGTGCTAGACGGTTCAACAAATCTTGAAGTAAATGTGCCGTTACACTTGCGTTACTTACCACCTATTGAAGCAGTGAATAGTGAGAATACGGTGAATGCGGATTTTTCATGGCTAAAGCGCCTATCTCTAGTGGAACAATTGCCAACGCTGGTTCAGTCACTTTGGACTCGGGTCGTTGTGCCCCTCCTTGAGAGAAGTGTGCAAGTGATTAATTTGGCTCTTCAGTACACAAAAGCTTGCTTGAAGGAACACTATGTCGAAACCGAGCTAATGCCAGACATTCCACTTTTTCTTGCTGCTTGTGATAAGCCTTTAGCTGATAAAGATTGGGATCCGATTGATGCTTCGCTACTTGTTCCTTCAACACATGCACATCTTGCATCAAAGCTCGCCCAATATTTGGATGCATTCATGTTGTATGAATCGGCAAGTATGCCTGAGGCTGAAACGTCCAGCGTAATCGAAATGCCCGTGGGAAATGCTTCACTGAACCTAGTAGTGCACCTCATTACGCTAGGTACCGCGCTATTCGCATCATTGCTACTGGGTCGATCCATTTTGTGTGCACGAAGGCATGCAATTTAATAGTCATCACCACGTGACACCACTTCTTTGCACGTTGGACGCAACAAAATCGTGTGTTCAAACTGGGCTGTCATACAGCCGGGCACGTCGGCCAGAGGTGGGTAATCTTGAACCACACCTTGCGATACAAGGTGGCGCAGTCCCAGCAAGTAGTTCTGCTCACCGAGACGATCGAGGTACCGCCGGCAGAATGGCAAGGAACCAAAGTTCTTGTTAATGGTGTAAAGGAGCTGACGAGCACTGTTGATACGCAAAGATACATGCGGTGGGTTCGCTTGGCGTGCGTAGTGCGAGCATTCGCCCGAGTCAACAACGTAGCCACGACCGGTCGAACCGAATGTCTCGATGGCAAAAGTCTCGCCCTCTTCCATCTTGACATCTAGATTCGGGACGGCTACAATCGGCACTGACTTTCCACCATGAATGCGGTAGGGAGCAATGTCGTGACCCTGAAGGTTCCGAATGCACTTCACCTGGTGTGTCTTTCCCTCAGCCTCAAACTCATGACTCTCCATCACCTCCTGAATGGCTGCGCCAACTTCGCCAAGGCGTGCATCAATACCAGCTTCTTTCACACCAGTATTTGTCGCAGCCCTCACAGCAGCCAACAGTGGGTCGTAGGTAGGCTCAAAGTTCATGGTGAATGCACTGTCAACAATGCGACCCTTGACTTGAACACCAAAATCGACCTTCAGCACGTCACCACTCTGAAGGATCCGCTTGTCGCCAGCATTTGGTGTGTAATGGGCAGCAACTTCGTTGAGACTCAATCCAGTGGGGAATCCGATGCCGCTTTCGAAGCCATTCACTTCCACCAATGCACGCGTGCCATCCTCGATCATATTGGCAATCTCCGTCATAGACATGCCGGGTTTAATCGTGCGCTGGGCATACTGTCTGACTTGACGGTGTACTTCAGCAGCACGGCGAATAAAGTTGTAGTTAAATCCGTCTTTCTCCTGTATGAGTCGCTCACGCTCACGAAGCTCTTCGCCGGTTACGCGTTTGCGCGATTCATCGAACTTGGTCTCGTCGTACTGCTGCACTTCACCCACAGGAAACACACCGTTGGGGAACATCTTCGTAAGCCCAATCGACGGAGGCTCCGTCTGTTCCATTACAGCTTTAGCAGTCTTACTCTTCTTCTTCTTTGCACCGCTCTTCTTTTTCTTCTTCTTTTTTTTCTCAGCATCACCCGGGGCTGGCGTTTCATCGTCGTCATCGTCTTCCTCCTCCTCTGGACCACGCTCTTGACCCTCAGGAAGCTTGTTCTCCTCTAGCTTAGTACTAAATGCATCAGTAGCTTGCGTCGCAGCATCAGCTGCCTCAGCTGTCGCTGGCATGACTCGTTCTGAAAAGTTCCTAGTCAAAGAATTAGCACAAATCGTGAAGACAGACAGGTCCGAATGGAACCGGGCTTAGTCAGCTGGCGATTGTTCGCACTGACACTTCGAACACCAACATGATCAATGTGCGTGCGCACGCGTAAGGGGACTCACACCGAAGCTTTGGAGTCAGCGCAAAGAAGCTGATGAGGCACGCAAGCAGCGCCCGAAGACATCTCCTGCTCTTATCCGCATCCAGAAAGGCATGTAGATCTTTGCGTCTTACGCCATGCAGATTTGTCTGAGTTAGAGCTCCCGCCCACGATGGAAACGCAGTTTCCTGACCCAACTAACATCAAGAGGTTTGAGCTTTTGATTAGTCCAGATGAGGGGATGTACAGGGGTGGTAAATTCCGCTTTTCCATATCTGCGAACGACAACTATCCACATGACCCACCAAAAGTGAAATGTCTTCAAAGAGTAAGTTTGTGGACTCGTGGTGCTAACATATGCGTACAGGTTTATCATCCCAATCTTGACCTTGATGGCAATGTTTGCCTTAACATTTTGCGCGAAGAGTGGAACCCTATCTTAAATCTCAACTCAGTCGTCGTGGGTCTTTTGTTCTTGTTCCTCGATCCGAACGCCGATGATCCACTCAACAAAGGCACGTAATTGCACAACCGCTGACTCCAGCAGAAGCTGCTGAAGACCTCAGGCGTGACAAGACTGTATTTTCTTCCAACGTTCAACGAACAATGGCTGGAGGATCGCTAAACCGAGTACCTTACGACAATGTTTTGCTATGATGGGAGGTTCGCGTTGCACGCTCGTATTCCCTACATTTCACGTTATGACTGTGTCGATTCCACAGGCGCCTCACCATTGGCCGCACGACGGCCCCAGCCCGACCAGCTCTCGTCGTAGATAGCACCGTTGATACCGAGTTGTTGAAGCGCAAGCCACAAAATGCATGCCGTCATTCCGCTTCCACAAGAAAACGTAACGCCAACAGAACCCTGCGCTGACCCGTCATGACGAAGTTTTTCCATGCCCTCCTCTCCTAAAATGCGCGAGACTACCTTCCAGAGTTCATGCTGCGGTTTCATTGTAGTGAAAGATTGACCGTTGACCTCGTGCTTGTCGAGGACAGACATGAATGGCATTGAAAGGGCATGGGGAATATGACCACTTGCCATATTAGGACGTGGCTCGGGAATTTTTCCATCGAAACGCTCCTTGGGACGAGCATCCAAAACGATCTGAGCACTCGAGCCTAAGGTTGTGTTGTGGAGCATTTCTTGGAACGAGCGGACTCTTCCACTCTCAAGTGAAGGTTCTGGATATGTTCCCCTGGACAATGAAGGTTCCGTTTCTAGCGACGCGGAATCGACAGCCTCACCAGCAGCCATCCAAGCAGGAAGACCTCCGTCTAAGACAGAGATGGCCTTGTGGCCAAATGCTGAAAATGTGAATGCTGTTCGCGGCGCAGAAAATATCCCATGTGAGTCATAAACGACGACATGAGTATCCCGAGATATACCCTTCGCCGCGGCAGCCTGAGCAAACAAAGATCCGCTCGGCATCATGTGCGGAAGATTCATAACCGAATCCCCTTTCGTTGATACGGCATCAACATCCCAGAAGAGGGCTCCTGGGATACGGGGGCCTTTTAGATACTCTTTATACGCATTGCGCACGGGCGCATTGGGCATGTTGAGGAACCACGTTGCATCCAGAATACACAGCGACTGCTTTGAGTTCAGTTTTGCAGCCAATTGTCTTGGTGAGATCAGCAGTGGCGGAAGCGAGGCAGAGGTCGACAAAGACATGAGTATTGGTGCGTTGATTTGATGGCAGTCGACTTAAGCACTCGTTGAGCTGAAGTAAGGGTGCGGATTCGGGAATTGGTGTGTCATTGCCACAATTTGCCGTTTTTAGGCAAGTCCCGTGATTTTTGTCACATTCGCTCGTGTTCAAGAATTATCAGATGCGTCATTTAATCATGGAAGCTTTGACCAGCTCGACATCGACACAATGCCGCCTGTTGTCGAGATCTCACGTATGTCTCGGTTTGCACTAACGTAGTTTCGGAACCAGCGGTCTTCATGAAAAAGAGAAGCAACAGATCTACTCAACCAGGTACGATGCTCCTCTCAGCTTGTTAACAGTAATATAAGATGCACAGCCCACTCTTGATTCAGAACTTGAAATGACGCCACCGCAAGTACGTGGCGTTGTGCGTCTGTCTTTAGCAAAGCCTACTCGTGTAAAAGATATCAATATTACATTCACTGGAACCACTCGCACAGACTGGCCTGAAGGTTTAAAACAGCATGGCATGGATGTTATTGAACAGGTCGAGATCACGCGACTGGGTACTAGTATCTTCCGTACCAGCGAGGGAACGCCTGTCTCTTTGGGACATTCGACAGAGGCACGTCATGGAGAAGTGAGAAATCAGTCTAGGCGAGGCTCGCAAACGCCAATGTACATGCGGCCAGATGATGTGTGGGAACGATTTCGTGAACGGGAGAGGTCATCTATGCCAACTCGAGCACCACCCAATACGCGACTATCGATGCGTGGTATTATTGACGGTTTAAGATCGCCAAAAATTTCTCCTACTCAAGAAGCTGCTCCGATTCTAGAGCCTTTAAATGCAGCAAACCAAGCATCATTTGTGCCAGCGGAATGGTTTGAATTGGGAAAAGGCGAATATGAATATCCGTTTAGTATTTCGCTTCCATTCGATTTGCCTCCGACTTTGCATGCTGAGTTTGGACATGTTACATATGTGTTGAAAGCGACTGTGTTTCGTAGCGGCCCGCTGACAAGCAATCTCTCCTCACAGCGCGAAGTTACGCTTGTCCAGATTCCCCATCAAGAGCCGTCCCCACTTACTGATTCCATTTTCGTTGATCGAGTATGTGATGATATGCTTTCATACTCAGTGGAAATTGAAGGTAATAGCTTTCCAGTCACAACCAAGATCCCTGTTCATTTAACAATGATTCCTATTGGCAAAACCCGTGTGCATCGAATTTCTTTTACTCTTGAAGAAAAGACTGAATATTACGCGAAAGAAAGACGAATATCACGTTCAGAGAAGCCGCTCAAGTGGAATCTCGTCAGGCTTCAGAATGAGTCAGTCAACGATCCTTTGCTACCTCTCACACACGAAGATCCGCGCGCTCTTGAGACTTCGCCCCTGCTTCCGTACATCGAAGCGGCTGCTCAACGTCGAATATTCGAAGAAGAAGAGACCCGTTTGGCACCACTGAACCCACTCGGTCCATGGCATCTCAAGCTTGATCTACCTGTGACTATGGGTCGCCAGAAGGTTATTAATATTTCCTGCCAGCATCCTAAATCAAATGTTGCAGTTCATCATAACCTCACCATCACTATACGTGTTGAAAAGATCCAAGTAAATGAATTAGCACCATTGAAGTCACGGATCCTCGATATTGTTATTATTATACCAATCAAAATAACTCACTCGAAAACCTCCTTCGAGTGGATTAGCTTGCCGAGCTACGAGTCTTCTCAACAAGCCCCGTCCTTCGGAATCTCGTCGCTGCAAGATCCTAATATTCCGGAATCACCACCCCCGCCGCCGCCCTTGCCCTTACCGCTGCCGCAATGAAACTCGCTCATACTATGTATAGATATCTAAAGTAAATACGTGCACGCTTAAATATGTCGAGTCACCTGGAAACTGACGTCCCATCCTCTCCACAGGAGCCAGTGAATGAGAAACGCTCAGAATCTTCGGCCGATCTTCACCCGCTTTTAACACCAACACATCGAAAGAGACTTGGGAGCATGGCCGCTGAAGCCAGCGCGACGCCTGGTGCGTCGCGCGTCAGAACAGAGAAGAGAACAGAAAATGCTCTTATGTACGTGTTGATTTTTTTCTCTTATTCTTATGCAGCTCTTTCCATGATTTATATGAACATCTCGAACGTGCGCGCCAAACACTAGCGCCAAACGAATTACACGACATGTTGGTAGCACGTCTCGCCCAGCTGGAGCAATGTGGGAGTATTCTTCATCGTAAAACAAAAGAATCGTGCAAGATCTTAGACAACAAGAAAGAAATAACCTGGAAAGGCATGGCTTTTCAGATTGATTCTGTGCAACGCGATTTGTGTTTGGCGATCAGCGATCAGTTGGACATCGATGAGCTTGAAGTTCTTGTTCTGTTGCGTACCTATTTGGAAAGCGAGCATCATTCTATTGGCATGCTTGAACACAAAAAATCTCTAAAATCTGATGGATTTGATGAGTTTCTCGATGCCTTCTATGTGTTTTTCTTTGAGGAGCAGCTTGCGGTTATTCGGTGTGTGAGTGCCTTGCTCCGGATTGCTGAGGATGCGCACAACGAGTTATTCGACATTGCGACCTCCGTACTTGACAAATTTGCTGACACAAAGCTCGCACAGCGCTGTCTTAAATGGTTTGAAGAGGAAACGTCCAAACCATTGCCATCAAATGTCGCTAGTGATACCCATTATGCGATGCTTTGGGTGCGGCAGGGGCTAGAGCGACAACTGGCACTGTTAGAAGTGGCTTTTCTCTTGTACTATGGGCGTGTTCCGCCATGCGCGGCATTCACAGCGGATGTGCTTGAATGTGCTCACCGGACGCAGTTTGGCCAACGTCAAGCGAATGCGAGTATTTTTGACTCAGACGCGTATGAAAAATGCCAATGCATACGTGATCTTCTGGTGTTTTTGGCTGTCGAGTGCTTGAACTTGGAGGCTGCGTTAGATGTTGTGCCAGAAGGTGTGTCAGCATCTGAGGATCCTGCCTTGGCGCCATTTGCCTCAGACATTGACGCCCTGAACAGGTCGATTGCGCAGTTGGAAATGGCTGCATCCAATGTAGCATATTCCCCTCTTCTGTTGGGATTTGCGCTAGTACTGCGACGTTTGGAAGAGGCAGGTACACACAGCACGTTGGATCCACGGCTAGCAGCCGCTGTAGACGTGATGGACAATGGTCCACCTATTTGGCGTCGTCTTGTCCAGGGTGCATTTGACCCTAGTATGGAACTGTATGGCATGCTTCGGGCACTTGTTTCCTCACCTCTATTGGGTACTGGCACTCGAACGCTGGGTGCGTCGAACTTGTCTGCCCTGGCGTATCGGGCCGTTTTCAAGGGACTATTGCTTACTATCACAGACCTTGTGCATCCAGAATACTTCACGGATATTGACACTCTTGTTGATTTGTGGTGCTGCACATTCCGTGCGAAGGCTGATGATGTACCAGATGGCATTGCGGCATTGTGCACCCAGTTTTGGACCCAAGATATTCAGTATCCTACTCGTGCATCTCTGCTGAGTCTGGCACGTCGCCGCTTTCCTGCAAGTTTCCGTCCGCTTGTGCTCCTCATGCAGGCCTTGTCGGGCACTATGCCTGGCTCTTCTTCACCTGAAACAGCCATGGCTGTCATTGATTTTCTGGCGCACGTGTCCTCGGTAGCTCTTACACTACCCAAGATTGCAGCGAGCTTAGCTCCTTGGCAGACTATTGACGAGCTTGAAGCACCGTCGGTTACGTATCAATTACGTTCTGACATGCAAATTTCGTCGACGCGAGTCATCCTGCCAGCAGGTACGCGTGGCGTTCTCGTGTCGCCGCCTGGGGAAGTTCCTGCGATTGTTTTATGGCAGCCTGTCGAACCGATTAGTGCTTGGCACATTCTTCATGATGCATTGCTTGCGCGTGTCAGCACTCCATCACGACGACTTGATGCATTTGAAGGCGGTGACGGCCCATGGAGCTTGTCGCCTGACTGGTCCAACTGCACGGCATCGTTGGACATTGAAGTGGCAGGACTCTTCACAGATGTATTGCAAGCTGAAGACTCAATTGGTGAAACTCTCTTGTCACACCTTGGTGAACATGAGGGCCTCGTCTCCGCCGCGCTGGGTCTTGTGCGAGCCGCTCTCACGAGCTCGCCGTTGGGTGTACGTCGCCTGTGTCATGGTTATCGTCTCTTGATGGCTCTGCTCCCGCATCGCTCAAATGAAATCTGGCAGTGGATCCGCTCGACGAATATCCTGATCGGCAGTCCTGGCATAGTCCCACTCAGTGATGTGGAATCGCCTCACTCTGCTCTGCTGGCACATGAAAAAAACACAGGCACCTTTACCGGCACACTTTGCCTCCTCGATCTACTATATGCGTTGCTAGAGCAAACTCAATCTTCTCAGTTTATTGATCCTCCTCAACTTGTTCAAGTCAAAGCGTCTGTTCTTGCTCGATCGTTTGCTTGGGTTGCTACAGACATATGGAATGACCACCGCAATTGGACATATAATGATAACAGTACATGGATGCAAATCAGTCTAAAGTGCATGCGCCTATTTTCTGCAGTTCTTGGAGATCCTTGTCTGAATCCTTTGAAAAAGCCAGACACACCTCTGCACATGGATGCTGTGCGCTCTTTGCATGAAGTTGTGGAGCGCGTTTTGGGTGAAGGTGCAACGTCTTTGACACTTGCTCCGATGCTCGTAGCCCTCGGTACAGGTCATGCACGCATTGACGCATTATACCGCTCGGGACATGCATTTGCTGCGCGTCTGTTGGAAAGGCTCGTCGAGACTTGCTTATCAACTACCAGTATGCTCGTGACGCGATCCCAACGTTCGCATTTGCTCACGACGCTTTTTGTCAGCGCAGCACCGGATGCGCGGGGAACGCTTGCGAGTGTGATTTTGGCATACATTCCGGCGGCTGTGCCGCCCTCTCTCGCCACAGCTGCTGCCCACCTCGTAACTGATATTGTACGAGCACCTGATGTTGCAGCGCTACGTCTCGCTGGTCATCTTGGCTCGACGAATCAAGTCGAAGACGTTGTGGGTTTGCTGCTAGACGTACTGGAAAATTCATTTGCGGATACTAGCTTGCGCGTCGCTTTGTGGCAGATGTTCAGCGCGTTTGTCTCTTCACAACCTGCTCTTGCGACACTCTTGCTCACGGGCGCACATTTGGCTCATGATCATGCATATAAACCTAGTGATTCATCAGCATTGAAGCGTACGGCCCTACAGCTGGCAGTAGATTCATTGGTTTTAACTGAAGACCTATGGACTGTTTGTCCCGAGTTGCTGGATGCTATTCTTGGATTTATGACGGAAGCTTGGGAACACGCAGTAGCGCATCCAATTGTCTTTGGTGCTCTGCGCAAGCAGCCAGAATTTTGGGACCGACTTGATCGCATCATTTGTAAGAAGGTGCCTGTTCCACTGCTAGATTCGTCCGACTTATTGTTTGAGCATGTTCAAAATGAAGAGGCGACACAGTATGCCTTCCAACTGGAATGTCAAGCTCGTGCGCTACGAATAATGGAGCTGGATCTTTGTACTTTGAAAATGCCACGTCAGTCTTCGGGCTCATCTTGTTGCATACGTGTTCTGGAAGCATTGTGCAGTGATGAGAATCGCTTTATTGAAATACTGCACCATGCAATGCAGACGATGCCTATGGCTGTGCCCCGTTCTGTGGAACAGCATGCCGGGTCTCTCGCCCGGGATATACCATGGCCCATTCTTCGACATGCTCCTCGCCGTGATGACTACGATCGGCAGCGTATATATGGACCTTACTACATCTATCATCTTCCGTCTGTACTACTTCGGAGCCAGACGACTACATCGGCTGACGTAGAGGAGCTCGCGTCTTGTGTGGGCTTCACTTGGTCTATCGTGGACGCACAGGCTAAGCGTGCTCGAGCATGGACCGACTGCTTGGGTGGTGTCATGGCTCATCTTCTTGCGCAAGCTGAGGCACAAGGCTCGGCAAAATACGAAGCACTTCAACGGTCCTTGAGCCGCACTGTGACTCACATTGGTCCACTTGCATTAGCAGAGGATCGCTCACATGTGGTACTCTTACTCGCCGTTCTTGTTGGTGCGTCGTACATGAATTTGAACAAAGAAACTCTATCGCAGTTATGCCCACTTGTTGCTCAGTTGTGTGAATATCCCGCGTACAAGCTGCCATCTTTTGCATCTCAGAGTGTCCGCACGCCTTTGGTTCAGCTTATGCTGACTGTTTCGTCGGCTTGCCACCGGCAAAATGTGTCTGAGCCAGCTTTAAGCTCCATCCTGTCTTACGCAATGGAGGCACTAGTCCAACTTGATTCCCTCATTCCATTTCTCGATGCGCCAGTTGATGAAGCGGCACGCGCAGCTGAAGCTGACTTGGATGTTCTCATTGCCTTTCTGCGCACATGTATGACTACTGAGACGTCTGTACCGAAATCCACGTGGCTGACACCAATGCGAGAGACTTGCATCATCCCCGCAGCCGCCAGTATCCTCAGATGCGCGCCGCTGACTCCTGAGCACAATGGTGCTGGTGCGCCCCGTACACACATTAGGTTTTTCATGCCCGTGTTGCGCTTGATTGAAGCGCTTTCGGCACAGCCAGTCGCGTGTGAGCTTGTCGTGCAGGCTGGTGTCGTACGCGCCCTGTGTACCACGGCTTTGAGCGCGCTTCTTGAGCAAGGCGCACTAGATCCTGTTCTTCCCTCGGGAGATCCACATCCACTTCACGTGACATGGCTGCTAATGCTACGTACGGTTGTTCGACTAGTGGAGAACCTGGGCTTGGAGTCGCGAGCATATCTTGTTGATGCAGATGTGCAAGCATTCGTAAACATGTATGCTTTGCAGATCCGCCGTTCCTTCTTGTTTTCGCCTTTGACTCAACCTTCTCCTGTGGAGATTGGCCAGCTTCATGAGGTCTGCATGGTTTTGCGCCTCTTTCGCAGTATGTGGATGGCTAAAGCACAAGGTGCCATTAGTAGCGACTCGCCAATGAGCCGCGCGAGAAGAATGCCTCTGGGCGAGTACTTCCTTCAAGATATTCCCCTGCTCTTACAGCAAATTGCATACGTTTACAACCATCCGAAAGAACTGCTGACTATGCTTGGCTTGACAAACCATGCTGGTGCCCCCACGGAGTCACTGTCAAAATTTGCTCAGCAAACCGTCAAAGAAGCATTGGCTCTATTACTTGGGCTATTGTGGGATATAAGTGGCGCAGATGCCATTCTTACATTCGATAAGGAAGACTGGCCGATGTTGCCAGCTGTGATCCAGCCATCTATGCATGTAGCGCCGCATGCGCCAGCATCTTTTGGTACTTTGTTGCAACTTGCCAGTGGTCTTACGGAAGATACTAAGCATGATCAAGACGTGTGTGGGCTGTTAGAACAATGCGTAGGTTTATGCGTGACGCAGGCGATGGTGTGGGATCAAGGCCCTGTTCCTATTTATGCAAATGAATGTGTTCAAGTTGGCAGAGACCAAGCGCGCGCGGAATTGGAAGCTGGTCTTGGTCGGGACATTGACGCTGCTATCCAAACAGCATCCAACGCCATCCGGAATCCGTGGTGGGATGTTCTACGTGCTTTCCATGAACGATGCACTCGTCCAAGAAGCTCATATAAATAAGAAATGCATTTTTAAAATACTTTATTCATTTAAAACAACTGGCACGGATGGACCATAGGTAGCTTGTATATTTTATCCTGTATTGGTTGGCTGTGGATTTCCTCGCGCCTGCGTTACGTGGGGATCGCACGCACGAATGGGAAGGCCTCCACAAATCAACTCACAACTGCAGATCCTAACGTACACCTTTGAATTTTGGTCATAATGACCTCGGAGGAGCCGCGTTTGTCAGCCCGAGTGCGGGCCATGTTGACGACGCAACATGACCCACAAGCAATCAAAGAGGCATTTTCGATGATAAAAAGCATATATGGCGATAATATGCCAGATACAAAGACATTGTCTTCGCGTCTCCTGCGGGATGTCCAACGTCAGGAGTACGCGGTAACGGAGACATTTTGTGATGCTTTGACTGGCCTAGACATGGCCCTTGCTGATATGTGTCAAATTACAAGAAATGCCAACGATGAAGCGCGCGACTCGATGAATTGTATGGAACGCGCTATGACCGAAGCTCAAGCCTTGCTCGAGCACGCACATGCGCTCCAAGACCAAATGTGAGTACCTCCCTTATGGCACTAACCCTATAGCACTGCCTCTAAAACACATCAGCGGATAGCTGAGCGACTCCTCGAGCGATTCACACTTACAAAAGCCGAATTGGATGCCATCAGCGCACCAGATGCGAGTGTCAATGCGTCGTTCCTTACTGCCATGGATCGGCTTCAGACCATTCTGGATGACACGCTCATTCTTATGGATGCAAGTGATCCTGAAACAGACGATTTTTTCTCTGAATCTCTACCAACTTCGGCGAAGGCCGCGCGCGATTTTCGCGAACGTGCGGCATCACTCCTTCAAACATCCATGCAGCGTCTTGCTTATTGGTGTTCCGCAGAGCTGCGTCGCCTGCCACTCGAGGGTGCGGATGTCAATATGTTCTTGCGTGAAGCTCTGCGCCGATTAGCTGCTCGTGAGGACTTGTTCCACTCGACTATGGCTGCATTTGCCGAGACTCGCGCGGCAAGGTGGCCGGAAGCGTTTAACATGGCGCTGGTCGTAGGAGGCCCGCCGCCCACGTACTTGCCCCGGCCTATTGAACTTTACGCTCATGATGCGCTTCGATATGTGTCTGACATGCTTGCATGGATCCATCAAGCTATCGCAAGTGAGCGGGAACTTGTAACGTCATTATTTTCATTATTGTCTATACCTGGACGCTCGGCGCCTCGTGTATTAGATAAACCGTCAGAGCCGGAGAATGACTTGGCGCTCGTTATTTCTGCGCACGGAATTGAACCAAAGGTTCTAGAAATGCTTATACATCGTGTGCTAGATCGCAGTATGGCCGGCTGTTGTCGTCCACTTCGGAAGCGAGTCCAACAAACTATCAGCGCGCAGCGCGATGCTACCTTAATTCTTCGCTTGTACTTTGTCTTGAGCTTTTACAGAATTACTATTCAACACACGCTCCGCGAGTCTTCTCCATTATGTGTGACTGTTAACGAGTACGTTCGAACACATGCGAAACTAACCCAAGGCTTTATCATCTTGCCGACATTGCTTTTGTCCATGCGCTGCAACAGCTAAGTTTCGACCTAATGGTACCTGAGAACCCGGGTCCGGATGTTCCGGCTTCCTTCGCTGAAGCACTTGAACACTTGCGTGCATTGCTCAAAGAGTGCGATGAGACAAAAGACACAGTGACGTTATTTGCACGTATTGCTCAACATCTGGTCGAACCAATGCACGCCATGTGCAAAAAGACAGCTGAAAAAATCCGGCATGCATCCGGCAAGACGCCATCATGGCTTGGCATGCCACTTTTTTCAGCGAGAGTATATCAAGATGCAGATCCTGAATGGGACGCTTGCTTGTTTCTGATTCATTGCCTTCTCCCTCTTGTACGAACAATTCAAGCGCATGACGAGTTGTACGAGCAGTACGCACGAATCTATAAAGACTTGAGCGTGGCATCCAAGAAATTGTGTGAATTGCACTATCAAAATATGCTTGCGGGATCTGGGCTCAAGAAGCTGGGATGCGGAGAGATTAGTGAACCCACATTCCTTGTTGAATGGAACGCTTTTTGTGCTGCACCAAACCTACTCTTCCCTTCGGAGCGGCTTGTGTCCTTGAAGGATACTTCGTTGCGGAGCACAATACATCGTGCGGCACTGTTACATCTCGTTCAAAGCTATACTCGCGCGCGGGCCCAGTCCCATCAACTTCCTCCCGAACGAGATATTGCTATGCTCATGGATGTGTTGGACATCATTGACGAAGCACCACATACCTTTATCGAGCAGACACTTCAGATGAATTACGGTCCGAAAAAATCAGGTGCAGCACGTTCATAGCCCGCCAAATCTTGCTCTGAGAAACAGCAAAAAACGACCAAGTCGAGGTTGTCGCCCTCAGGACCCAAAAGGAAAGATTTGACCTGCTCCAATGCAGCCTTTGTTGCATCGTCTTTCGGATAACCATACACACCTGTTGAAATTGATGGAAAGGCTACCGAACGAAGTCGGTTCTTTACGGCCTCTTGCAGACTTTCGCGGTACGCTGATTGAAGCAAAGTGCGTGCAACGTTAGGTGGATGATGAGAATAGATCGGACCGACTGTATGAATCACAGCTTTGCAAGGAAGCCGATAAGCATTTGTCGTTTTGGCTTCGCCTGTGTTGCAACCATTAAGGCGTCTGCACTCTGCTAAGAAATTTGGGTGATCTGCTGCACGATGAATTGCGCCATCGACGCCGCCGCCGCCCAGGAGTGTGGGATTCGCAGCATTGACGATCGCATCCACTTCCAGTTTAGTGATATCACCGCACCATATTGCAATCTTCCGTGCAAGCGCGTTCGCATATGGTAAGGTTTGAATCTGTTGAATGGACACCATTGTCGGAGTTGCTGGTCGTTCGACGATTGTCTTGGCAATTTCCTGAGGGGCCCCTGGGCTCTTGGGACGTAAATTTAATTCCAGCTGTAATTTAAATCCAAGGTCTTCTAATCAGTTGTGGCTGTCTTCGTTTGGCATACCATCGTAGTTATGAGCAGTGGATCGACGTCGTCTCCTCAGGTCATTGTGCAGCAGGCTCCGCCACAGCAGTCCGTGCTTTCCAAGCGTACGCAATCAAATTGTTACTTACATGTGTAGTCGGTATGGGTGCCATCATGGGCTCGCTTGTGGGTGCAACTATTGGTTTCATTGGTGGCGGATTCCAAATTTTGCGGTACGTTGAACACATTGGGCTTATGCATGAGTGCTGGACCAGGACCTCGCGGTGCTATGGCAACACTAGCACAATACATGATTTCCTCAGGAGCAACGTTCGGGTTCTTTATGTCTATCGGAACGGTCATTCGTACGGAGTCGCTTCCCTCTTCCCGCGATGAGCAATGGCGCGCAGCTTATCGTGCGCATGGGAACCGGGTCGCAATTGGAGCTGCATCACGTACATAATTATGTATCTATGCGAACAAATTGTGCTTGGATGAAGCGACGTTCCATGATGGTGCTTGTTTTTCTGTTCACCTTTGTGTGGACCACTTCTTCAACTACACCAGTTACGCCTCCGGCCTCAGCAAACAGACGCTCGACTTCGTCGCGAGAGAAAAAGTAAGCCATGGTATGATCTCCCCTTCGATACCAGTGGTGCGCATCACTTAGTAGACTAGGCTCGGACCATTGAGCGTCTTTACGTGTGTGGAATCGTAGATGCGCGAGATCTCCATGTGCGTAGTCTCGGAACACCACCGTAGCTCCTAGAGGAATAGCGGTAATAAGTGACCGAAGCATCCGCACCTGGTCCTGAGGCGGGATGGCAGAGAGCACGAAGATGATTGAAAGCGTCGACACTGGGGGCCAGTTCGGACGCTGCTTCAACTGATGTAGAAGCACTTGCGTAGATTGTCCATCAAGTAAGTCATGAATAAATGCATTCACACGATGTTGATCATAGCAAGGATTTTTTTGCACGATGTCAATGGCGCGTGGTGAAAAATCAAAGCAATGAACGCGAAGTTTAGCATTCTTCTCAAGTAGTGGGTAGACCGTGTTGCCAACACCACACCCAACTTCAAGAAGAACAGGTTCTTCTCCGTGTACTAGGTTAGGTGTATCTTCGCGCAATTCGTCAAATTCCCTGTCAGTCCAATTTCGATTTTTAAAGAACCGGTCTTCATGCGCCTTGTAAAACTTATCCCAAGCTCTGCCAGCATCCCGCCGAGTCTTTTCTACCATGAAAGGTGAACTAACGCGCCGATTCATTCCAAGCACATCTTCTATTTTTGAGGTGTCTTGCTGGTCCGAGGAGCGTGGCGTGGCCTGCGCGTCACTCATATTCGCCAGCAAGTCACCTCTTGAACAGATGGATGTGGGGATTTGTTCATTTCAGTTTGCGCGCTTAAAGGCGGCGGCGAGTTTGGGTACGCCAAAAGAATTTGAAACCCGACAGGACCTCCAGCCTACATTTCTTCTCGGTGCCGATCCCACGTGGTGAGTTCTCGTCGATTGCTGTCCCACCATGGACTCGATGATGGAGCGGGATTCGGCCATGGCGTCGTTTGCGTTTCGTGGCTCTCGTGAACCTGTCACGCTGTTGGAGGACTCTTTCTTCCGCGTGCGGCAGTTAGTACCGTCGTTGGTTCCTGCCGTAGTTGATGCGCTGCGTGCTGATCCTTACGTGTCGCCCAGCACGGGTGGTATCGATAGCGACACGGAATATGCTTATTGTGCAACTACGCAGAAGTGTCATGTATGGCGTGCCACAAGTGCAGCTCCCACTTGCTTTGTATTTCCTGTTCCGAGTAGCTCATCCGGCGAGAGCTCACCGCCACATTGTGTTCTTCTGCCTCGCCCATTAAACGCAAGTGCTGAGCCTGCTGTACTCTTGTGCACAAGCGATGGTCAGCTGTGCTTTTGGAACGCTGTTAGTGATGCTTTTACTATTGATTCCAACACGAGTTTGGATGTGTGCGTGCCGCTACAAACGAATGAACGGATAACAACCGCAGCTCGCGTTGACAGTAGTCAGGCTTTGCTCGGTACGTCACATGCACGCCTATTTAGTGTGCGAGTTTTCATGCACCGTGGAGAGTACCAGGTGGTGCCAACGGTTTTGAGCGAGTCGCGCGGCCTGCTGGGCCGATGGTTTGGTGGCAACAGCCACCCGATTGGAGGTACAGGTACAGAGTGCGCTATTTCCTCCCTGGTAGTCGGCCCCGCTGGGACAGATATGCACTGTCTTGTGCTGGCTGTTAGTGCGCGACATGTTCAGTTTTGGTGCGTGCCTATGGCTATGGGTTCGACTGTACCGGGCACCCCTCGGCTTGTGAACGCAGATATGGGAATCCACCGTACTCTTGCCAGTCGTATCCTGTATGCACGTGGCCAACGCTACAGCGCGGCTGATGCTATGAGCATCGAAATACTTGATGCAGCATTTGTTCTGAATGAGGAAGAGTTTGTGGTGCTCTATGTGGACCGCAGTGTTCCCTCTACGACGTCTTATGGTCTCGCACTCATTGACGTACCCAAAGAACCTGGCACTTCCCTGACTCCTCGTCAGATAATCCCCCTGCGTTTCCAGGGCGCAAATGATCCTCGACCAGGAGCACGTCCTCGTTTGCACGTTGCAGGCACACAGCCATCGGTGGCCTTCATCTCCTTTGGCCGCGCGGTTATCGTTCAACTCTTGAGCGATCCGTGTGGTTCTGATGAGATACTTCAGCTGCGGCATGGCGCGGATCATATTCTGGGCTCTTGTGTAGCTGTATCAGATTCTGATGCACGCTGGAAAGCCCTCACTGCGACGAGCGGTATCTGGATGGTGGATTTCCATGTGCCCTATGCACAGCAGCAGGCTATTGAGTACGTGTCTTCATCGCATGGCTTGGAGAGACTAACAGCAGTGAACAACCAACATCTGCTTGCGCGCTGGACGCGCAGACTCGCCACTTGCAAGAGCGCATCGAGAGCGCGGTTTGGTTCTATGATGCTTCACACCCACTCCAACTAGATGCTTTGCCAGACCATTTGGATCTTCATGTGCTTGAGCACTGCGTTGTCAATGTTAGTACAGATTTGCTGACAAGTTCTTTACGCTACATGCCTAAAACCGTTGACCTGCGTACGCAACTCGCACAGCGCGTGGCGTGTGCATTGCGTCTGCGTGATGTATTGGGTCGGAATGGTTATCTTGCTCAACTTTCAATTTCAACTCGCATTCATTTGCGAGCAGATGCTGAGCTGTTGGCAGGGGCAAGTGATCTCTGGCGTTTGTTTGACGCTGGGGAGCATGCAGCCGTGCTTGTCACTGCGATCGAGAGTGTGCTGGGCCCTGGGTATGAGCGAGTATTTTTCGAGCAGGCACTTCCACGAATGGTCGAAATTCTTGCCGCACTTCATGCTCAATTGACTCCATCCAATGCCGTGGTGTGTACGCGACTAGTGTTGGCCTTGTTCCTTGGCGCAACACGCTTCCGTCTTGAACACGGTGCAGCGTATCAGCAGACGTCTCTTCCTAGTTCGTCAACGTTTGAGCCTTGGTACGCGTCACCTGTATGTATCCGCCTCCTGGAATCACTGTTTGATGCGGCCATCAATCGGCTCGAGCATACACAAGAAGCCGCAGCTGATGCAGAGCTCCGCACTCAGCTTTGTGCTTTGGCAGAACAAGCACTAAATGCATATGAAGCTCGCGAGGCATTCCTTAGCAACGATGCGGACGGTCTTGCAGCTGCACAAGCTGCTTTCTCGAGAGCGCGCCCGGCTTTGTTGCGCCCCCTGTTGGGTATCGGACGTGCCGACAAAGCATTCGCACTTGCCGAGCATCATCGCGATTTTCACACGCTCGTGGTTCTTTGCTTTGCGGATCCGGCCAACAATGACGATTCCAAGCGCATAAAGCTCATGAATCCAGCGAGTTCGGACTCCTCAGATGTACGTGTGGAGCTTTACCTTGATGCATATGGTATGGATTTTGCCAATGAGTTGTATCAATACTACATAAAACACGGTGCAGTTCGTCGCTTATTGGAGCCACGTGCCGAGCATGCACACTTGGTGTCCCGTTTTCTTGATGAACATCCACAGTATTCCCGGCTTGCATGGGTACACGATTCAGCTCTTGATCAGTATGAGCGTGCGAGCTCGACGCTTCGCGCTTGCGCGCAGCAAGAACGCCTGGATGTACAGGCTAAGCAGCGTATGCTAAGTATCGGAAAGCTACTACATCTTGCCTCGCTTCCTAGTATGGAAGGAGTGTCTGCACCCGCTCAGCAAGCGACACTCGAGAGTTGGGATGACGCGCTTGACCTTGTGCACATACAAACTCGCTTGCATGCCCGATGGGTCGAGGCAACGCTGGTGGATGAGAGTGCTCCTGCAGAAGCTCAAGCTGAACATATCGCTTCGAGTATTGCTCCCTTGCTTGACAATAGACCGACATTGCGCACATTGTTTGTCTCGTTTGCTAGCGAGGTGATCGCAGGTCATGTTGTGACTGGAGAAGACATAATTGACTTGTTGACTTTGGCAGATCGGTCATTTGCTGCCCCACAAGATTCTGCTCTGACTGATTTTGCTATTGCTGTCCAGGTCTTGGTGAGACTGGACCTTTCATCGGCGAGACGAGATGCAGCTCTGGTATCGTTGTGGCGGCGTCTTTATTTGATGGATGATTGGGAAGCACTTAGTGATACCGCAAGTTTAACTGATGAGCAAGTGCTTCAGAATGTTCAAAACACAACAGCATTTCACACTTTGCAAAGCGTCCTCGCTGACGATAGTACTGCCGAAACTGTCATATCTCCAGAGTCAATTTGTACAATGGCTCCCCCAGATCTATCATTGCTGAAAGAGCGATTGCAAGGCTTACCAGACACTCAAATACAAGCCATCCATGATGCTTTCCAAGAGGAGCATGATGCCTTGGCACATACTGTGGAATGCACCCGCCTCTCTGCATATTTTTCACACATCCTCTCGGTCCGTCTAATAAATAAGGAAGATTGGGATATGGATGACGAAGATGCGCCTGAACGTAAGCTTGAAGATACGACTACACCCTTATACGAGACTTCCATGCCAGGTGCCAGCACGATGCTTATGTGACAAAGGGGACATGTTATCGGCTTCTGTATCGATCCTTTTTTTTTTCATTACTATCACCTTGCTTCCATAATTCAGTGAATTATGACGAAAAATTATAATATAAAAACAATAACAATGATAACAGTAAGCTAGCGACGCTTCATTTGTGTTGCATGAGCTTTACGTTGTGTGCGTCGCTTGGCTATTTCCATACGCTGGTGTAAAAAGAAAAAAAAATGAGATGAAACGTACCTTGGCTTGCTCAGCAGGCGAAAGTTTGTCAAATTTCTCTTGCTGAAGACGTCGACGCTCTTCTTCAGCTTCCTCGGCTTCTTGGGCTTTGGCGTCGCGTGAGCTAATTTCTTCTAACTGAGCAGCAACCTCAGTACGCGTCTTTTTTAGGGCAGCGTAAGTGTCAGGGTGCAGGGCTAAAATGTCCGACCGGCCTGATGCAGTCATAGATAGCGCATCCGCAATGTCCAGAGCAAGAGTAAGCAGGGGAAGACTTGACTTGGCCTCGGCCTCGGTTCGCGGCAAACGCAGAGTCAGTTCAAGTCGTTCAATACGCTGTGCTTCGGGAACGGGTCCCGTTGCCGGTTCGACTCGAGGTTGGTCAGTAAATAATAGGCTCACTAAAAACTGACCAGCCGAAGAATTCAATGCTTCAGTAATACCTAATCGAGCACGTTGTTTGTCACCCCGGGAGCCGATTTCGCCGAGCCAACGGTCCGTGATGTTTCCTGCCTCTGATGCAATAGCGAAGCGTTCGTCCAAGTCACGCGCTTGGCTCGCATTTGCACCGTCGGAGACACGGGCAAACTTCATATCAAAACGCTCATGACGAGCTTGATGAAGCTCGGTCTTGTCGATAATAGCGAACGTTCCACCGTTCACACGCGGAGACCGAGGCAAGGTAAACGTCAAAGTCACTTGCTCCTTTTTAAACCAAGGAGAAGCAGGAAGTGCAAATATATCGTAGATAATCGAAAAAATGATCATGAACGGGTCATGCCATGGACGTAGTGTTAAAACAGCATGTAAAGAATCGACTCCACGGCGTCCTGTTGCAAATAGACAAGCCTCATCTGCGCCATTCCAAATAAGTTTAGGTGCAATACCAGATGTGTCAATGCCAACCTGAGAAAATTCAGTCTCCAGAGCACGAGCATAAACAAGATGCCAGCTTTTAACTACCCAGCGATTGTACACACGCCCGAGCAAAGAGCCGAGCAAAAACACCATCAGAACGCCGAGTAAAACACCTTGAACATAAAATTGCCTTGGGCGAAAGGCTAGATCTACATTGAAAATACGACCTGTCCATAAAGCAGGACTATCATCTTGTTGCAATGAGACGATCCGCTGCAACGCATGCTGCAGCGGTTGCCATACACGTTCCATCACGATGGTCAGGGCACGGAGATACGATAATGAACGAAGTTGATTGCCTTGGTATTTTCGGCCGAATCATGGTCGCCAAATGGAGCCACATCCGTCCCTACCATGAAGGAAGTTCCGCCCTCTTGTAAAAATTAGACAGAAGACAATCTCATCTAAGAATAGTATGGATCAATTCTTGACCGACTAGAGCTGGAGATCCTCGCAGCATTCATTTATGCTGAGAAAACGTCATTTGGTTTGATGAAATGTCGATCGCTGCCGCATCACTTGCCGGCTGATGATTCGCTGGCGGTCGGGATACAAAAAGTGGAGGGCTATCGGTCCGCGTCACACCGAACCTACGAATTCCCTGTCTCCTGAACCCCATTGTGTGGCCAAAGAACGGAACGTGACGAGCTACGAGAGACCTGGTTTACAGATTTCGGCGATCTATTCTCGTTTGAATAAAGTAACCGGTACGTGTTGGTTCGTTTGGTAGGTTTGCTCCCAGCCGCGCGGGGAGAAATAGTCCGAGAACGCAACTTTCAGGATACTAACCTAATTAGGAGTCAAGTATGGACGTAAAAGATGCTTCTATGGGGATCGATGATCCACTTTCCGCAGAAAGCATGCTCGCAGAAAAGCCCGTGCAGCGTATCAGTGTAATGGACCACAAAACTTTTGCTGAAAAATACCTCGCCGACCTCGGACAAGAGGAAGCAGATTTCCAGGTATGTCACTGGTCTATTCCGTCGTGGCATGCACTCGACAAACGGATCACTGGTCCAGAATTCGAGTGTGGTGGTCACAGATGGCGCATATTACTTTTCCCGTTTGGCAATTCGAATGGTCAACCATACGATATGGTGTCTGTGTATTTGGATTATGCCGACAACAAAGATACGCCCGAAGGTTGGCACGCATGTGCTCAGTTTGCGTTAGTTATATCGAATCCGAATGATCCGACTTTATTTTCAACTAGTCAAGCGCATCACCGTTTCACCGCAGAAGAAATGGATTGGGGATTCACCCGCTTTAACGAATTTCGTAAGTTGGCCGTGCCTCTGGACAAGCGGACCCGACCCATTATCGAGGACGATAAGGCCGTTGTGTCAGCATACGTGCGTGTTTTAAAAGACCCAACGGGAGTGTTGTGGCACAACTTTATCAATTACGATTCCAAGAAAGAAACAGGATTTGTCGGGATTAAGAACCAGGGTGCAACATGTTATATGAATTCACTGCTCCAATCTCTTTACTTTACCAACTATTTCCGCCGTGCTGTGTATCAGATTCCAACCGAAAATGACATTCCCACCGACAGCGTGGCTTACGCGCTTCAACGTGTGTTTTATCTGCTTCAGACCAATGATGCTCCCGTTGGTACAACTGAACTGACTAAGTCATTTGGATGGAAATCCCTTGACTCTTTTTTGCAACATGATGTACAAGAGTTCAACCGCGTACTTCAAGAGAAGTTGGAAATCAAAATGAAAGGAACTGCAGCAGATGGAGCGATATCGCGTCTTTTTGTGGGTAAAATGAAAAGTTTCCTTCGCTGCGTGAATGTGAAGTATGAGTCGTCTCGTTCTGAAGACTTCTACGATATTCAGCTTAACGTCAAAGGAATGGCCAATCTGGAGCAGTCTTTCTGGAACTATATTCAAACTGAGATGCTAGAGGGAGATAATAAATACCATGCCGAAGGGTATGGCCTTCAAGATGCTGAAAAAGGAGTTGTATTTGAGCATTTTCCCCCAGTGCTTCATCTTCAGCTCAAGCGTTTCGAGTATGATATCGAAAAAGATATGATGGTCAAAATTAATGATCGACATGAATTTCCCTTATCCATTGACTTGTCACCGTTTCTGATCAAAGAAGTTCAGAACGAGCCCTGGGTATACAAGTTGCACGGAGTTCTTGTCCATTCAGGTGATTTGCATGGTGGTCATTATTTTGCTCTCATTAAACCTGAGCCTGATAGTAATTGGTTCAAATTCGATGACGATCGGGTGACTCCTGCAACACTCAAGGAGGTGTTAGAGGACAACTTTGGTGGCGAAATGATACCGATGAACGGAGCGAATCGCAATGCGCCTGCAACGGCGCCGGTTCGTGCGATGAAGCGCTTTACTAACGCATACATGCTGGTTTACATCCGCGAATCACAAATGGGGGAGATTCTCAAGCCGATCGAGCCTGTGGATGTACCAAATTACCTGAGTCAACGTGTTGATGAGGAACGTTTGCAAGTTGAGGCGCGTCGTCGTGAGCGTGAAGAACAACATTTGTATCTCACGACCAAGATTATAACTGAGGATATATTCCGCATGCATCAGGGCTTTGATCTTGTGTCATTTGATGACCGCATGGGGCGTCCTACGGATCTTCCCACATTTCGTGTACTGAAGAACGAACCGTTTGTTAGTTTCAAGGCGCGACTTGCGTCGCATTTTGAAGTGCCGGATCAACTTATGCGTCTTTGGGTCTTGGTAAATCGGCAAAACAAAACTGTTCGACCTGATGCCCTCGTTCCTGAGAATGACCCGAGTCTAACACTGGAAATGGTACGGGATCGAATGGCGTCCCGACAAAATGATTTAAGATTTTTCATGGAGTTGATCGACCCAAACAGTTTGGCTATGGTGCACTTGAACCCAAATGTGCGAGGAGATGCTATCATGATCTTTTTAAAATATTTTGATACCTCACGGCAGACTCTCTTGGGTGTATCGCGAATGTACGTTCAGCGTCACATGAAGGTCGGCGACTTGGTACCAACAATCAATGAACTTATGCGTTGGCCACCAAGCACTCAGGTTAAGCTCTTTGAGGAGATCAAGCCTGGCATGATTGAACAACTCAAATTCAAAGCAACCTTTGTTCAAAGTGAGCTGCAAGACGGTGATATTATTTGCTTCCAAATTGAACTATCAGAGAAGGATGCAAATGATTACGAGATGCAACAATTGTACTCCAACCCTGTGCAGTTCTACGACTTTCTTCAGAACCAGGTGCGCTTGCTAATTAAGCCCCGGTATGAAGATGCGCCTTGCCAGACGGAAATCGAACTTACACTCAACAAGAAAATGACGTACGACATGCTAGCAGCCAAGGTTGGCGAGCGATTGGAGAAAGATCCTCTCATGCTTCGTTTCACTGTGGCAAATGGAATCAACGGAACGCCGAAGACGGTGCTCAAGCGTGCTGCAAACCAAACAATCAACGAAATAATACAAACAAGTTATTTGCAAGGATCTGCCAGTTTGCTGTACTACGAAATTCTCAATGTGAGCATCATTGAGCTCGAGACAAAGATATCACTTAACGTAACGTGGATGGGCGCATACAACAAGGAGGATTCGCAACCGCACTCATTTTTACTGCCTAGGACGGCAACAGTACATGATCTTGTGGATCATTTAGCTAAGGAAGTTCAGCTTCGGCCAGAAGGCACGCACAAAATTCGTGTCTTTGTGTCAGCGGGACTGGGCAAGCAGCAACGTGAAATGCATCTGTTTGATACGCTCAACAGTATACCAGAAGGAATAGAGCTTTTTGCTGAAGAGATATGGCCTGGTGAACTTACACTTCATGAGGACGAAAAACTTATTCAAGTGTGCCACTTCACAAAAGACATCTCCCGCACGCATGGTGTACCATTCCGATTTGTGATAAAGCGCGGAGAACGATTTGCCGAAACGGCAAAACGCCTTCAAGTACGCCTTGATGTGCCTGATAAAGAATTTATCAAATACCGCTTCGCTTTGATCCAAATGACCCAATACAAGCAACCTACGTATTTGGAAGATGACGACATCTTGTATGAGCACAAATTCTCACAAGAAGATGTGCTTGGTATCGACCACATTGACAAGAGCGGTCGTGCCAACCGGTATAACAACGCTGGAACTCAAGACCGCGGCATCCGAATCCGTAGCTAATTTTTTTTCTGAATTTCGTTCTACGATCCAAGTGAAACAAGCGTGCAGTTAAGGCAGCCCGTCCTCTAGACCACTGGCTATTGACTTGCGCAATGGCTCGCTTATGTCAGGGTGGGTACCTACATAAGCGAGCAAGAGGGTTGTAGGAAGCGTAAATGGTGGCAAAGTACCCGATGTTGAAGCAGGTGCACTTTCCACAGTCCCAAGCTCCTTCCCGTTATATTGCAAAGAAAGCAAATATGTATTCAAGCGTGTCTTTTGAACGATTATGTCAAGAGTGTGACCACGCTGCACTTTAAAACGAGGAAAAAGTGACTTGAGCTCGGTCAAGTTTTTAGATAAAGTACCTTCGGCTTCATCTGATAGTTCATAGCTAGCCGAGGGAAGTCGAGCGTCTTTCGCACGCACGTTGATTGCACGAATGAGGCCATCACGAAGATGAGAGAAGTCAGTAGACCGAGTTGGCATGATTCGAATGGCACACGGGATACCGGCTTCAAGCCACTCACGTACTTTCTGCTCAAGATCAAGTTGGTTACCTTTAGTTTGTGATCGAGCAGCCTCCAATGCATCTTCGGCGACGTACAAGCCAGCCACATAGACATAAAATCGAAGGAAAGTCACAGTCCTAACACCCAAGCCAACCAAAGCGCATAAGCGAGCCTGAGTCGTTTAAATTTGACCCATCCGTCTTCATATAGACCGGCATATCCATGCAAGACTGTTGTTCCCTCACAACACGATCCATGGGCGCTTCGAGAGAAAGCTGCGATGCATGAAAACCGAAAAACGCCACGACCGAAGCACTGAGTGCACCAACGCGACACCAAGGTACACGAAATGAGGCAGACCTACCCGTATGAACATGGCGTGTAAGTGTTAGTGCTCGAGATGCCATAGATACGGGGGGGAATCGTGCAGCGCCTACGCGACTCATGATGGCTAACATGGTTGCATGTAGGATAGCAAGAGTTAGCCACGTGGCCCATGCGAGGAGTTTGTAAAGGGATACGCGCACTTCAATACTATCCGAACAGGAAGTCTTTCTCACATCAACCTACGCGTTTGACAGATGCCATTCACACCTGACTCAGAACTAGAATTGTGCTTTCCAGCACATTTGATCCCTGCTGAATCGAACGAGAAACTGGCTAAGTACGGTCTACACATACGTCCACTGTCATCGACGGACCACAGCCGCGGACACATCCATGTACTTGAATCATTAACGTCTGTCACAGATCCAGGTGAACAAGCATGGCGCGCACGATTCCATGAACTATCTCAAGCAAACTCTTCAGCGAGCAAATATTTTATCTGTGTGATAGTTTCTAAAGACACGGACAAGCTGGTTGCGACAGGCACTGTGTTTCTTGAACCCAAGTTTCTTCGGTCACTTGCCACCGCAGGACATATTGAAGACATTGCCGTCGATCATTCAATGCAGGGGAAGGGACTTGGAAAGATTCTCATTAACACGCTCACCTCGCTTAGTGAGCAGGCAGGTGCATACAAGACTATTCTGGACTGCAGCGATGATAACGTCCCTTTCTACAAGAAATGTGCCTACGAAGTCAAGGGCGTGGAGATGTCTAAGTACAAGTGAAACTTTCACTTGAGTAAGAATGCTTTTAATGATTTCATAAAAGGACCTGGAGCTTCAGCTTGGCACCAGTGGCCGGTATCAAGTACCTCGAGTTCCATGTTAGGAAAATACGCCTTACAAAGTGGAAGGTTGTGACGGTTGATGTACTTGCTCCGCGTGCCTTTGATAAACAATGTAGGTCCATACCATTGATACTGGGGTTGTGAGGGAACATCTGATGGTGGTGCGTATGGGAAATCACCAATTGCTTTTAGCGACTTAAGGATAGCGTCCACTGGGATGCGGAAGCGCATTGTGTCACCGTCGCGCTCCAGATTCGTTAGCAGAAATTGTCGCACAGAAAGTTCAGGCTCAATTTGCTCCAAGACTTTGTCTGCTTCGGTGCGCGATTTGATGTCCATGTTGTTGATGTCGTTCATGCACTCGGCGTAACGCATGAACTCAGGTGAAATAGGTCCTTCTGCTGGTGACATGTCCACACTCACCAAGTGGGAAAGCATCCCTTCAGGGAGCTGAGGGTCCAAGGCCATTGCTTGAGCAGCTTTGCCGCCCATAGAATGCCCGATGAGCGTAGCATTCGAAAGTTTGTGATCCGAAAAAAACTTTCGAATGTCACCAGCCATGTCAAGGTAAGACATGCTGTCTGCATGCGGAGACGAGCCATGATTGCGCAAATCAAGCGCATAAATGGGGACGCCAAAGTCTTGCGCCATCGATTTTGACAATGAGCGCCAGTTTTGCTTTGAGCCATACAGCCCGTGGCAAACAACGACTGCACTGGTTTTTTGAGCGACAGGCTTGTCGCTCGACGGAGGCCTTTGCAATTCATAAGCGAGTTCTAAGCGTAGTCGAGAGACATTAGTTGTGCTGAAGTAACGAGATAGTGTCAATGGATCAATCGGACGCGCTCGCATATATGAAACCGATTTAGACAGCATGTCGTGTAAATGCATTCAGAATCAAATAGCTTCTCAACTACGTGCGAGCCAATGTGGAGAGATAGATGGTCGAAGCACGGGATCTATCTAACATGTATAAAAGTACCCTTACTTGTTGAAGCAGACAAATTACCACGGCGGATCAATGCCGGTGCATTCACGGCACCAGCTGTGATGCTCTGCATTCTTGGCTGTGCAGCCAGTTTTACCAAACAACTTGAAGCAGTCATAGTAAGACTTTGCACACTTGAAACAAACATCGTCTTCTTTGCGAGGACTCAAAACGTTTACTTCACTTGCCATAACAAACGAAAGCAACGCAAAAAGAGCGAATAGTCCCAGAAAGCACCTCATCTCTTTGATGAATCTTGAAATAACTTGGTGGTCAACAATGATCCAGCGGTCCCGGCATTGGCATGTAATAACCAAAATGCATGGGTCCCTCGGCCGACAGGTCGACACGCTCTTGGCGCGAACGGCGCGACGGTGGTCTAAATTATTATTACAACATTTGACGTGCAGACCGGTCCTGAACGCACAAAGTTGGGTGGACAGTAAGGATCTATGCGAAAGTAACTGGAGTGCGTTGAATAGGATCAGTTCATATCAAATTGGGTCATGTCAAGGCATGATCAATGGCTCTTACACTCGCCTCAACATAAAAATGCAGTACTGAGTGAGCCTATAGGCCAATATGTGTTGCCCGCTGTGAATAGCGAAACAGCATCGTTGCTCTCAGGTTCAGGTTCATCCATCTATGCAGAGTCGATTGCAGGCGTACCTAGCATGAGTGGCACTTCACGAATGCGAGCAGCACCCGCGATTACATCTGGGCTAAAAACTGTTCACACATACACAGGAGCGAACGATACACTCTTTGTACAGTTGCAGACTCCGCCTCAGACCTCTCCTACCTTCATGGGTGGATCGAAGCAACGAGGAAATGGGGCAGTTACAGGTCGGGTGATCTTGCGTTGTACAGAGAAGCTGAAGGCGACAGAGCTTCGGCTTAAACTGAAGTGTGTCGTTGCTATTATGGCTCCTAGAGCTTCACAAGCCACGAACGGAAATAACACGAATTTTTCTGGGCTTACTCCTTCTTCGACATCCACATCATCGCGTGAGCAAGTTCTTGTGCAACTTGATCATCGCTTCTTACCATCAAACGCAAAATATAGCGCATCTAAAGATGCCGCATCAACAAATAATACGACGGGTCGATTGGACCGGAAAGGATATTATGAATGGGACTTTCGGATCGACATTCCTGAACGAGGCACCACGAAGGGCTGGCACTCCAACGAATTTCCAGGAATAGGAACCTATTATCCTTCAAGCTATGTTTTGGAAAGTGAAAAAAATAAAGTTGGCAAAAGCGAAGAATGGGCTAGTGTAAAATGGTATCTGAAGTTTACAGTGGAAAGGCCTGGTTTGTTCCGCACGAACGACCGTGTCTTGATCCCATTTATTTATCTGCCACCCCCGCCTGAAAATGTAAGCTCTCTTTTAATAAGAAGACAAGCTCTATCCTCTCAAACTCAAAATTTAGTGAGTACCATTTCGGGACCAGTAATTCTCCCAAAAAGTTTGGCTGAGCCGGCATCATCTTGGAAAACTTATTACTTTCCTTTGTCTCAGTTGGCATTAGGGCAACCTATTAAGCGTTCTTTGGTGGACAAAATGTTTGGTTCAAAGAAGCCCAAAGAAGAACGATGGGGCATTTCATTTCCTGGAAATCCCATGGCGACCTTCCCGTTACGCTCAGTGGTCCCTTTCGTACTAACTCTTGTTCACAGTGCAGGGATTCCTCTGGTTGTACATCCCTGCGTGAGCTTGATTCAGAAGGTTCAGCTTCGTGGCAGACATGTTGCTTCACATATTCAAACCATCGCGCATGCAAAAGTATTCCCATCACCTCTTAACAAGTCGGGCATGCAGCAATGGTTTGGTCATGTTCAATTCCCAAAATGGTGCAGTCCGAGCTTCGAAACAGCGTTACTGGGACTTGAGTATTACATCCAGGTCAAACCTTTAAATGCACCAGAGTCACATGTCCTTCAAACGATTCCTTTAGGTTTGTACTGTATGCCTCCACGGCTTATGCAGACTCTTCGATCGAGCACGATTACACAAAGCATGTCTCAAGCACCCTCCCGACGAGGCTCAACTGTTACGGACATCTCAAGTGGTGGTATGGCTAATTCTGGATCTACTCCTCGTCGACGAGTTCCCCCCGTCCCTTCTACCCCTAGCCCTTCCACAACGTTAATCCCCTCAGGAATGACACCAATGCCAGTGCCCCATGTACCTGCTGCCATGCCTGCCCAAGATCCACACGCTGCTGGAATGGCGGGTATTGGCCGCTCACACTTGTTGGAGGCACGTGTTGATGGGCAAACATCAGGAATGCCGCTGCCCGTTGAATCACGGCCTTCATTGCCGGCGTCAGCCCTTGCATCGCAACAAACACAGCAAGATCAGGCACTTGAGCCTACGACTACGAGAGCAAATCTACCGAACTTTGACCGTGAAGAACAATCCCGTGACACACAATCAATTTATCCGCAATTGACGGAAACTACAGGCGACACAGTCAGTGTCCAAGGCCCCCACATCAATGACGATGTATCCCTCCACGAAGGCACCCAACCAATGATACCTGATGATGCATCCAGCGATGGATTGGTTCATGATGCAGGTCCACTTACGCAAGAGCAAGAAAATGCTTGGACTATGGATATTTTGGCTAATGCAATCAATGAAGACGATGTCGCTGCCGGGTTTGATTTGCCGCCTTCGTACTTTGAGGCAACTGGAATTCTAGATCATGAAGAGTCATAGTCGCCCGAAAGTTGAAGTATTCACGTGATTACTGTGTCTGTTTTAGGCCACCGGGGGCTGCCGCTACCCATGTTTCCCTCACGCTACGTTTTCACCCCCCGAGGAGAACAGATCTTTAAGAGGTCTGCGTAGCACATTTGTTTCATGGTTTGGGATCTTTACCCCAAAGGCCACTGGTACTCGCCTATATGCTGCGTTATGCAGCCCTGCGAGTGGGAAGGTCCGCGTGCGCCTCTTTGTTCTATCTCGCAGGGAGAGACAGATGGCCGTTTGATTCGCTGACTTAGAAGCTTGTTTGTGTATGCTGCTCGTCAGTAATGCTAGAAGGGACTGGCTGTCTCTACAACTCTTGCTGGGTGAATGGCGTAGCGCCATAAGGTTGGCCTGTAACAGAAAAGGCTCTTGCGCGGTAGGTCTGAGTGGAGCTTTCCCCGATCAGTTCGCTCGGAAACACATTCAGGCAATGCAGGCGGAGATTGGAATCGGGTCTACTTGATGAGATCTGCCAGAATCCCTTCTTTGCGTGATACTTGCAAGCTGTACCTAGGACAGGATTTGAGCGGTTGTCTGAAAGTCATGGAATGACCTGGGGCAAAGAGGTCGCTTGATATTGTCAAGCTTGAGTGCAATCAGTGGCGTCTCTTATACAGAGCAAACTCGACGCGAGACTACTCTTGGAGTAAGGATCCCTTGTCATGGAATTTTCGTATTAGTATTTCTAATTTGTAACATTGTATAGTAGTGCCGGTGTGCGAGTTATAAATACTTTGGGCGGAATTTTTGCAACTGGGTAATTTTTTTATCACACAAGTTGGGGACCTATGGGCATGTACTTTTGATAGACACAGTCAGCTCATGTAGGCCCCAGTGCATGAATGTCCCTGCATTGTCGAGGTGCATAAGGTGACTATGCCAGCTTGAACGAAGAAATTGGACAAACATCAACTACGTCACATTTTGTGGAAGTTTAGTCCACAATAAGACATGAATCGTAAACAGGACCCATCAGATATGCCAGATCGCCATAATCGTGAGAAAAGTGAGGGTGATAGAAAGATGCGGAGAAAACGCGGTGACATGCGTACTTGATGATGGATCCGAAGATGGATCTGAAGTGTGTTGTGCCGAATCACTAGAATTGTTGGTATGATTTTGCTCTTCAAGAGGCGTTATGCTCAGTTTAGAGGCAACTTGAATTGAGTAATTATCCATGTTAGGTATATTCCTAGCGATTATGTCACCGGATACAAATTCTTGGAAGCTAGGGTATGTAGGGGCATTTTCAACATAAGGATGTGAATTGTTCATGCAAACGTGGACAGGAACAATATGTTCAAATGCAGACTCGATCTTCGGATACATCCTCATGAATTCATGCATGGTAGCCCGGCTAAGCTCGTGAGTGAGAACGATATTACCGCTGGAGCTAGAATTGGAATTCGCGTCTTTATTTATGATACTCTCGTAGTTAGAGTTGATCTTTTCCTTAGAAGCATCACCGTCTGGTTCGACGTTCCAGTCGTCAGTATCTCTACTCCATATAATCGTTCGAAGACCAAGCTGATCTGCAATCGCACGGACACGGTCATCGACGTCTCCAAAAGGAGGCCGCCAGCAACGAACAGTGACGCCAAGTACATCTTTGAGAATGCGTATAGTATAGTATAGTTCAGCAAAAACTTGTTCATCATCAAGTGTGGTCATATAATGATGCGACCATGTGTGGACGCAAACCTCATGACCATCCGTGATGGCCCGCTGCGCTTGCAGAGGATAATTCAAAACATTTGAGCCGATATAGAACATAGTAGCACGAAGATTTTTGCTCTGCAGAAAGTCATAAAATTCATTGTGACCACAATCTGGTCCATCATCAAATGTGAGGCCCCAAGTCTCGGGTTCAGGACAAAACGTGATATCTTCCGTCACGTTGATTTTTGGTTTAGTGCACATGGTAGCACTCCACCAACAATCAGGATCAGCTGAATCGCTGTATTGATGTGACTCGTGCTTCGAAATGGCCATATGATGTTTCACACCCTGCTTTTGCTCCACGTTAGAGGGTATTGTGTTGGAGGACTTTATTTTTGCCCAAAGCTCTTTGGCGTCCTCATCATGATCTTGGATAGAGGCAATCTTGTTGTCTTTCGGATAAGCTTTCCGTAGTTTCCCCGATACTGGGAGGTCCTCGACTCGGCATTGCTTCTTGAAGCTAGTGACGTTCGCAAGTTGTGACTCATTCGCAAAATGTGCGCGCTTATTTTGACTTATGACAGAAAGCGAAGTGTTCCCCAGACTCAGTCCCCTTCCGATGTGAGCATGAATGCAGGTGAAAGAGATGAGGAAGATCCACCCTAGTGCGGCTGGCCACATCCTCATCGATTTCCTATGTTCCTGAATGAGTTGTGTGCATTTCAATGCGATCAAGACTAATTTCTTAAGTATCGCGCCAAATTTTGGCTTAGAAATATTCGGCGTCACGGATAAACTAAAATGTTTGATGTAATTTCGAAAATACCTTACATACTAGCTGGGCCCTGTGGCGACCGTTCTGATATGTCTCGTACTAACCGAGATGTCAGGTTTGCTCGCAGAAACCAATCAAATATGACTTATTGCTTCGCATTTAGCTGTAGTATGATTTTGGCGTCCTCATTAACGAGTCACCAAGGCGCATCTTGCATTGAGTCGGAAATAAAAAAGAATCTAACCAATCGCAAGGGGTAATGGTTTTAAAGGCTTACAAAAGGTCGTAAAAAAGTTAGGCGCATGCAAGATAGCAACGTATTGGATACGAACAATGTACTGGCGTGGATGGCTGATCCCGAGAGCAATCATATGAATTCGAGTCACTCATGTCACATGAGGACCAAACTATTGGAAATGGCTTAAAGATTGAGTTGAGTAAGTTAACGATGAAAGAACTCTTGCGAGTTTTATGCTCAGCATGAATAGTGGCTAGCTGAATCGAAAAGGTGACTAACATGAACGATCAACTTGTATAGGAACCAAGAGCATTAGGCATAGCTAAACTTTGGCAAACCTTTGTAGGATATAGACAATTTCACTGAATAAACTTGAATAATGAGGTACTTTTCGGTCCAACAGTCTAAGTTAGAATGGGTTTGTAACGGATGAGGATTTAGAAACCATATTTTCAGTCATTAGCGTCATACATTAGACAGATATATTCTAGAAGTTCAAAATGACTATAGCACATTTAGGCTCAATACCTTATTCTGTCAATCTATTGCGTCTTTGTGTGATTTCATCCAAGCTCAACGCTATATGACGTGCGAGGTTGCTAATACTCTTAAGACTTGCTGCATGTGGAGGAGGTCTTGAGGGGAAGTGAATTTATGTGACGTGATAATGAGGTGTTTGTGGAGATCCTTGCACGACATGAATGGTGGTGATTGCGCACTCAAAAAGATGAGGATGAACGCCATACAAATTGAAAATAACAACTAATATGCGTAAGAATCTAAGTATAAATGGAGTGGAACTTGCCGTTCGATGCTGCAACCTCAGTCGCCCAGTTCATTCAAGATGGCACCAGTTGCTGCACTTGCTCCCGCTGTTCCGCCCGCTTTGACCACATGCAAAAGCATATCTGCAAGCCCGTCTATCGCTTCTCTGGTTAGAAATACTAAATCTTCAATTGCTTCACGCCAACCACTTCAAGTTTCAGGACTGTTAGACAGTCTATATGAGTTTGACGAGTTGACGCCTGGACTTGGACGATTGTATCCAACAATTCAGCTTAGGGACCTGATATATCATGAAAAGGCTGATGAGCTGATCCGAGACTTGGCTATAATCATTTCCCGACGAGGTGTTGTGTTCTTCAAAAATCAAGAATTATCTGCAGACGAGCAAAAGTTCGTGACCGATCGTCTCGGTCATCTGACGGGCAAACCGGCCACCTCGGGGCTTCACATTCACCCCGTATACAACGCTGAACGGGTAGGAAAAGATCAGGTTGTGGATGAAAAGGGTACTCAAAACAAGGATAATGAAATTAGTGTGATATCGAGCAATCTACATCGATCATTGGACGTTGAGCCTCGTTCGGGTGCAGACGAATGGCACAGCGATATTGCCTTTGAGCCAGTTCCAGCTGATTATACTTCTTTGAAAGTTCACACACTCCCACAGACCGGTGGTGATACCATGTGGGCAAGTGGGTATGAAGTGTACGATCTCTTGTCACAACCATTTAGGAACATGTTCGAGAAATTGAAAGGCTTTTACTATCCACCGGAGTTTATTAACTCGGCTGCACGGCATGGCTATGCACTTTATCCAGGGCCGCGTGGAGCAGCCGAAAATGTGGACACACACCTAACTGCGGAACATCCCTTGATTAGGACAAATCCGGTGACGGGTTGGAAGTCTGTATTTGGCATTGGGCACCATTTCAATCGCATTCTTGGTGTATCTCTTGACGAAAGTGACATGCTTAAGAGATATATTCGAGACCTAGTGACACAAAACCACTCAACACAGCTTCGGTATCGATGGGGCAAGAACGATTTGGCCATTTGGGACAACCGATCAACGTATCATGCTGCAACGCCGGATTACTTTGATTTGGGTCCTCGCTCGGGGATCCGGGCTGTATCTTGCGGAGAACGGCCATTCTTCGACCCTGCTAGCCGTTCGCGGCGTGAAGAGTTGAAAGGAAAACTTGTATAAAGATCCGTGGGCATCGCGTATACATACGCCAGTTGGTCATTCATGTAAATTCATGATAGGAGCTTCATCCCAATGTTGATTAGAAACCCCTGCTCTGCCAAATTTGAGTTTTAGTCACAGACAATTTTTCGCCCAGTCTTGGTACATCATAGCTTAAACACATTCGGCGGCATTCATGGCTCGACATAAATCCAAGCTATAATCGGAGGATATGGCGTGAAGACGCTCTTTCCAGAAGCACCATCTTTCTTTCGATAATCCCGGCCTTCCATTCCACTTTTCGCCGGAGCGACACAACGGAGAGGACTCAAGCCTTGGATCGCCGTTGTTATATAGTTGGTTACCAACGATTTCGACCCAAGCTAACAACGCACGCAGCCGGGTATCAACGGCATCAGGCATTTCTTCTTGTTCCAATACGCCACGAAACAAAATTACTGCATAAGCAAGCGTGTCGGCCAAGTGCTCTCGAGCGCACAACGCGTATATCCGGCAAATATTGATAAACTGGTCCGGCTTGGTCATGTCGTCATACACTGTCTGCGTCAGACCGAGCCCACATGCAAACGTACGTTCAAAAGTCTCTCGCAAAGACCTATTAAAATGTGGAAGATCCTCCCATAGCTTCGCACCATCAATCATGCCTACATGATGTTTCTGCAAAGCACGTGCTAGTTCAATCAGACGTTCATGACTATTGCTGTGATACGCAGCACAATCGAACCACTTGTTCCAAAATTCGAATGGATCTTCGGTCGCATCTCGGATCTGGATTGCAGCCTCATTCACACTGCCGCCTTGAATCAGCTGCTGCAAGGTCGTGTCCATGTGGTGAAAAGGCAAGCCTCACCATTCGCAATCATCCCTACTTGGACACATGCGGGGTTGTCCACGTGCGCACGTGCGCCTGGCCTCGCAGCTCCTGAAAGAAATCATGCAGGTATAAGGCAGAACAACCAGGACAAGGTAAGGAACTTCCTCTTCCATAACATGAAGTGTGTGGTGTTGTTATCCCTGGCTTTTGCTGGAATTTCGCTGGCAACGCCAGTTTATCGCCGCAGTGGGGTTGCGCACTGTGGCGTGAACACTGGAGGCGACATCAACGTAAGCTCGGCAGCTGAGCAAGCACGAAACGCGCCAACCGATGACCATGGACGCAGCTATCCGCACCAATTCAAGAACTACGAAGGCCTACCAATGTCGAACGCTTGCAGCGGTGCATCCATGATGCTGGAACTGCCTGTATTTGCTGACGGGCACGCGTACAACATTGCGCACGGTGAGAAGCCTGGTGCCGCCCGGGTGATTTATTCGGCCGATGATCATTCACTTTGTGCTATCGTTGCCCACGATAGCAATGACTCGAACTTCCATCTGTGCTCTTACTAATTGCAATACGAATGACTCGACAAGTTTATGGGTATATAGGCTATGTATACTTTATCTAGAGTTTCGAGTTGAAATCCTTGTGCACACTTGAGGACTAGATTACTTTCAAATCTTTCCGTTCATGAGGGAGCCCAAGACCGAAGTGATATTGTTGGAACCAATTTCGGGTGCAATGATCAGAAAAGGATTTGCAGGAAAAGAAGAGGTCTTATTCATTGATGGGAAAATCCTGACCAAGTCTCACATTGAAAACGATAGGCAGTCAAGGAACTGCGCAAACGATATTGGTCTAAAACGGCGCACGGAATGGTACTTTATGCGGAAAAAAGACGATATGTGGTGTTATGCAGCATCTGGACTTGACGAAGACGTTGCATTATATGTTGAAAAAGCATTGTATCATAATACTGGCAAGGCAACAAGAACAAAAAAAGGGAATGTTATTGTGTGCGTTGGAAAATTAACCAATATGACGCCACGTTACAAGCGAACATATTATACAGCATATTATACAACAAAAGCTTCCTATGACTTTCCAGCTATGCGGCTTAATAACGGTATGGTCAAATGCAAACTTTCTCCATACATAACGATATATAACTTTATGCACAAGCGGTTTTCAAGAGAGATTGTTGAACAAGACCTGGCTAAGTATTTTCCCCTCCTGGTAAGTGGCGGTTGCCTTGTCGAGATGACATTGTGTTACTACTACAAACCTGGGATGAGACTAGTGGACTTGCATTCTTGGACGTAATCCTTTTACGCAGGAATTACCACAAAATCGAACTTGAACCTGAACCTGGGGTCTCAAAATTCATTCCGGGGTGGAGCTAATTTTCGAACATGTCGTTAGTCAGGAATGTAAATGCGAAAGCACGACCGCCGTGCGGCTTAAAGCCGTATCCAATATTCGCCGGAACAATTTCGCACGTGCATCGTACGCAGGTCGGTGCCACAGTACACATTGTGATGGAAACTTACTGTCATTATATGATCAGATATCATCGTCTTGAAGCCACATATCCGTTACGAGTAGTATATGCTGGTATCTGATTTGTCCCTACAATCTTGAATATGGAAACGTTGACAAAATATCAGGTCAGCTTGTGCAGCGATTCAAAAGGACGCCTACTCAGGATTGAGTATTTTAGATTCATGCGTCGCTCGGCATATATGCGCGGGGTGCAACGTGCTACCACGTGAACAGAGCACGGGATACAACGCTGCAGAATTTCGAGCGAGCTAAAGACCCTGCATGGGCCGATATTGCAACCCTACATTGTATTGGCATGCCTGATTCGTAGATTGATATAATCGAACCGTAAGCAGAGCCCCCATAGCTTAGTATCATTGAAAGCAAGAAAC